ATTATTTTTTAAATATTTCAGAATTTCGAATAAAATATTTTAAAAATCGGACGACTATATCATATAGCTGTCATAGGAACGATCGGAAAATTAATGGGAAATTAATTGGAAACAAATTATAGCTCCGTTGGTTTTTATTGTATTCTCCTTTACTTTTGAATTAAATTTAACAAAAATCGGACGACTATATTATATAGCTGCAATAGGGAAGGATAAAAAAAATAATATTACAATAATACGAAATTTAAAATTTTTGCGATTTGTAAGTTAATAGGAACGATCTGCAAGGGTATATAAGCTTCGGCTGGCCGAAGCTAGCTTTCTTTCTTGTTTAAAGGGTAGGCTTTGAAAGTATTTTTTGTTTCAGAGTGTAGTTTTAATTTTTCAATTTTCATCGTTTTTTTTAAAATTATGGTGTGACTAAAACATCGATTGCCGCCAAAAAACATCGATGTTTCTACAAAATTGTAAAACATCGATGCATCGATGTTTTCATCGATGTTTCTCATGGGACTGTCCGTCATGTGATATTCGTTGCTCGAGAAAAAGTTCCGTGATCGCGTTGTCCACCTTTTTATTTTTATTTCGCCCCAAAACACTTCGCGTCGAGTCCTTTGAGCCTGCACAATGGTTTCCGAGTGGGTGGCACCGATCGTTATCACCAGCATTTGGGCCTTCATTGGCGTCATCTGCCCCTTTTTCGCTCGAGGTCCCAACAGGGGGTAAGCTGTTTACTTAACTTTTTGGAGACAGCCACTAATTTATCTTTTCCCAGGGTGACTCAATGCTGCCTTATGCTCACTGCAGCAACCTGCTGGCTGTTGTAAGTATTATACATCAACTTAATCAGCTCGATTAGCTGCGCCACTGCGTAGCCGTCCTCGTTCCACGTCGCAGGACTTATCAATGACATTTCCCATTGCAGCTGGCTGTGCTGTTATATGACGCAGCTGAACCCGCTGATCGGACCCAAGCTAAGCATGAACGAAATCATGATCATGGCCCGCGAGTGGGGCAATCAGATCAAAGACACCATGGATGTCACCGTCTAATAATGTATTCGTTTCACTTGTTTTGTTATTGTTTCTTTACCCGGATGTTCATACATTCTGTATTATTAATTTCAACTTAATGTTCGAGGCATAAAATAAATTGTATTAGCGATTACGCTTTGGACAAACCCGTTATAGAAAATCATAGATAAAGAACATATTTGTAAATCTAGTACGTGCAAAAATGTAAAGTTAGCCTGGACTTTTCGGCCAACATTCCCATTACATCGAGTGTCTTAAACTGAAGATTGAAACTTATAATAAAATAAATGTACACTTAAAGCTAAAGGTGTTCACAAGTGTTCACGATTGTTACTCATAAATGTACTTGTTGATGGTGTGATCTGACTAGGGACAATAAAATTTGAAAGACTTTAGATAAAAAAATATCTATTAATAGTTTCTGCGGAACATATACTTTAAAATTAAAAAATAGATTTCAATCGCCGTTTTCGGAAAATGGGCATTTTTTAAATTGATTAAGACTCGCCCTTGATCCTCTTTTTAAGGATTTATCGCTAATTTTTGGAAATATAGTCTATTTTCCGGCTATTGGAGATTGTTTCATAATTATACGACAACATTGATTCCAATGATCAAACTTAACCGAGTTATTTTCTGGTTAAATACAAATTAAAAGATTAAATTTTGAGACTTATCCAGCCCAAGGATCCTTCCAATCTCCCACCCATACATAAATATTGAATATTTCTCTCTATACCTTAACAATTTGTCTTAACTTGTATCTGGTCCATAGTCCTAACACTTTTCATATGAACTGACCTTTTGGAAAATACCATTATTTATTCCAAAATGCTGGATGCATTATAAGCACGATCACCAGTCTGCGCCCCTGAACGAAACCTTGCGCTTCGAACGAACGCCAAGAATCTGCATTGTGAGTCCCAACTATCTAGCTCTTACAGTTTCCGAGATCTCAGTGTTGCAGTGAGTAACATAAATATTCGTTTTTTTGCAACCTCAAAAATGAATAAAAGGTATAAAAGCCAATTGCAGATTTCACGAATAAAAATTTGACTACAATAGCAACATGAATTAATAAACAAAATATTTCATAATTCAAAAAATAAAATTTTAAAATTTGTCACCCTATTGTTCCTATGGGGACTATACTATACAGACGTCCGATCGGAACGCGCTTTTGCCCTGATCAAGGTATGCACAAAAAAATACGATTTGGAAAGATTCATGTCAATATTTTTACACTGCACGAAAAATCTTCAGTTTTTGCAAGTTATATCCAATTGTTCCTATGGGAGCTATGGAATATAGACGTCCATGTTTTAGGATGACTGTAAAAGTTTTAAGTCGCTAGCTTTTAAACTGAGTTCGCAAACGATATTGAAACAGACGGACATGGCTATATCGACTCGCCTATTGATCCTGATCAAGAATATATATACTTAATAGCAGGGACCGAAAATAACTGTTATTGTACATTTTTCTTACCAAAAAAATCATGCACTTAGAAGAGTCCTACAATTTTTTTAAATACACCATTATTTTTGTTGGCCATTGTAGTTTACAAATCCGTTATGATTTTTATTTATTTGATTTTTATAATACAACTCAAAAAATAACTGTTATTTGTTGATTTTTATGTATAACTGTTATTCTCTTGAAATTTCAAAAAAAATTAAATAATTAAAAAAAACATTTAAATAACTTACTAAAAATCTTTAAAAAAAGCCAACCGTGCATTTTTTATAACTATATTTTTTTAAAATTTGTTTTACCCACAAAATCGCCATAAATCAAGTTTGAGTTTTATTTTTGATCACGACGAATTACTGTTATTTGTCAACTTTTATTATAAAACTCAAAAAATAACAGTTTCAGTTTTACTTTACGAATCCGAAAATAACTGTTAAAATGTGATTTTTAACATAAAACTCATAAAAGTTACGGTCCCTGCTTTATAGGGTCGGAAACGTCTCCTTCTCTGCGTTACAAACTTCTCACCAAAATTATAATACCCTCTGCAGGGGTATAAAAATGTATCTAAGTATAATTTTGAAAAAATCGAAAAAATGTTTTTTCCTTTAAAAAAGTCTTTAGGGTTTGAAAAATAACATACCATAAGATAAGTCCGGCCAAAGTGTCTAAGTGTCAAAATTTTCCATTCTGCGGCGATGCCTCACAGGTATATCCTGGGCACCTGGGCACGTGTTTTTCTCAAAACCACTTTTTTTTGAGACGGCCGGACACATAACTCAAATAAATCTTAACCGATCGATCGGTTATTCGTGAAAAAGTTTTTTTTCTTTTCAATCACTCACCATTTTGCAAATAATCAATATATCAAAAAAACTACGTGTGTCGATAGCTCTTGATGTATAGAAACTAACCAAACTTGAAAATATTTGTCCTTTAGAAACCTTTTAAATTTAATATGTATGTAATAACACAGGTACACAGCCAAAAATTTCCACGCACCATTTCAAATTTTCCATGATAATTGGGTGCTACTGAGTAAAAGTCCCATACAAACATACAGTTACGATCATAAAAATAGTAGTGCACTTACGTTACGTTTTAAAAGTTTCACTTTGGCTATATTTCTAAACCAATTTTTTTAAATTATGGCATAATTCGGCAGCTCATGAAAATAGTAGTGCAAGCGTTAATGACTAAAAAAATAATAAAGCGCAAAGTTTTAAATCTGCTAATTTTTTGGAAATGAACTTTTTTTTTATTATTATTACAACATGTTTTTAGCTGGACGATCATACACTGTCGTTATCCTTTGGGAAACACATAAAACCGGTAATAACAAAAAATAATAAAATGTGGTGGTTGAAATGCAAAAACATCTACATTTTAAAATCATTTTGTACCTCTTCGGTTAATTTAACACTATTAAGAGTAAAAACTTATTTTAAAAACTAAAATTTAGCGACTAAAGCATTTATAATTCTTGACTACTTAAAAACCAAATTTAAAAATAGAAACGCTGAATCTGGAATCCCTGGAACTGCACCAAGTGAGCATTACTTTATCTGCAAGGGTATATAAGCTTCGGCTGGCCGAAGGTAGCTTCCTTTCTTGTTTTATTTTATTATCCACTCCAAAATGTTGTCAAATTTTGAATAAGTCATGGCAATCTCTAGAACTAAGAAATTAAATACGTTTACTGAACATACATAGAGAAACATAGGTACATGTTTACTCGCATTCTATAAAGACCAACAAAATATTTAGTGAGAGAAAAGCGTTGGGCATGATATTTTCCTTCAGAAAATAATTTTTTCATAAAATCTCGCGAGCAACCAATGTCCCGATCGGAATGAGACGATTTTCAGGAATTTGAAATTGACGGAAATTGGTTCGTAATTTCTTCAACTGCTAGCGCTTTAAGCTCAAATTTTTAATGCAGCCCTTTGATGTTCTAAGGAACCTTCAGTAAACACGGCGCGCTATTGATGCCCTTGGACTATTTGAGCCCCCTTCTCCCCTACTAATTTAAGAAAAAAAATATTTTAATATTTTAAGGTTCAGGTACAGTTTGTAATGTGCAGTAGTCTTACGTATTTAAAATAAATACTGAATATTAAATTCATTGCAAATCTACGAAGCTCATGACATAGAACCGGCCGGAACCAATGTCTCCGCGGAGAAGGCTGACGTGGGCATCGCGTCGGAGTCCTTTGCATTCGGCGAAAATAAGGTCTACTCGATGAATGCGCTGGCCAAGCTGGAGGAGAACATCCCGACCAACATCCGCCCAAGGAGCTTTACCGCCGAGCCGATGCACTGCGAGCGCAAATTGTATGATAAATGCGTCCCTCAGCTTCTGTTCTTCAAGCATATTTTTAAATACAAAAGCACACTTTTTTTGTCCCCACTCTGTGTGCATATTTGTCACTTAACTGGACTACCGTCAATAACTATAAATGTTTGCTTGCAAGGTAAATATTAAAAAAACAGTTCGGTAATAAGTTATTTATTTAGTAACTACGTAGTATGTATACATCACTTTGAATAAATGATGACTAATATATAATATTCCTATATGCATTGATATTATTACATTATCGAAATGTTTATTTACAGTTTTTTTTTACTAATAAAATGTACAAATTCCTTAAAAAGTTCATACAAAAATTTAATATTTATTTTAAACAAATAAACGAAAGCCAAGATCGGAAATTAGGATTTTTTTAAATTAAAAGTGAAACAGAAAGAAAAATATAAAACAATGGCATATCAACAAGAAGCGTTTGACTAATATTTACAGACAACCCCGTAACATTCGACCACTTTTTACTTAAAATCTACCTCCAGATCCACTTCCTTAAACTCGAGCCAATTATATTGCCGAGAACATAGAGTAGACCTGTTGTATGGCTTGTCAAAGGTGCATGAAGCAAAACATTTAGCGCAGTTATGTGTTTCCGGAGTTAGTGGATGTCGTATTCGATGAGGACGGAGCTGCAGGAGCTGCCAAGTTAGTTGGAAGCTGTGCGGTAGCTGCTGAATAGTAAGCTGCAGTCGCTGGAACGTTTGTGCTAATAGCTGAAAAATCATCCGAGACTTAGTATTTATTTGCTAAGATCATAAGTAAAACTTACATTGGCGTAGTGCCTTTTGAAACTTTTCGTATTCCACATAATGTTTTAGACGCAGCTCGTCCTCTTCGATGAGTTGTCTTTGACGCAACAGCAGCAGCCGTTGGTGCTGGTTAGTACCCAAGCGCGTGTTGCACAGTTGGTTAACCAATGAGTCTAAATTGTGCTTAATGTCCTGCAGAAGAAACTGTCTTTTTAGCATATCAATTGTTTATGGTTTTGGCTTGATCTTACGGATTGTATATCGCTCGGTAACAAGTGCGGATGCGTTGCCGCTAAAGACACAGGCTCTTCGGTAACTGCAAAAAATGATATAAAAATGATAATGATTGAAGAATGACATAGTTGTTTACAATAGATTTGTTTACCTTCACCAGACGTGGCATTAAAAATTGGTTGCATAACGTGTTGAATAGGCTGTGATGCCTGCTGGGATGCCATTAGAGGGGACTGTTGTAACAGATGATTTGGAACAGCACCTTGGAAACTTTGTTGAGCGGTCACATGAGCTCCTGTCTGCTGGTTGTACATTCCCGGCACACTTTGTTGCTGCATGTGCGATTGCATCTGCAACTGATGTTGTTGTTGCGAGATCATTTGCTGCTGAGCCGACATAGTCTGCATGGGTGGAAGCTGATGCGGCATTCCCTGGGCCATGCTCACCACCTGGGGGGGAAGCGAGTGAAGCTGGTTGGGCTGCGTTTGGATGAATTGATGCTGAGGATGGGTCTGTGTGCTGGGCAAGTTATATTGCTGTGATCCCTGCTGGGATCCCTGTTGCTGTTGCATCATGATTTGCTGCTGCTGTTGCGCCAGGAGAGGCATTTGATTCGGTTGCTGTTGTGGTTGAATCGGCTGCATCGGTATAGATTGCTGTTGTGGCTGCTGCTGGTGCGTGTTAACCATGGGTGGATGGCCATTAAGTGGCGTCTGTTGTGGCATATTCTGATGCACAAGCTGTTGCTGCGGCTGCAGGTTTGATATTTGTTGCATATGTGTGCCATTTTGATTAATAACTTGTGGCACCACAATGCACTGCGCCCCAGCTCCACTAGCAGAGGTGGAGGTTCCTCCAGGCAACTGGTGGATCGGCTGGGTTTGTTGGTAAATCAACTGAATTCCGTTAATGGCCAGCGGAATATTTTGAATAGGAGAGCTGATGACTTCGGTTGGAGTATTAACCACACTACCGTTCTGCACTGAATTGTTGGCCTGTATATGGCCTCCAGGGCCTGCGACCTGCAGGTCGATCTTTAGTTGGCCCTGTGCAGGTTCCTCCACACCGGTTGAAGTCTTCTGCTCCTGAACACGACTGACACTGAAACGCGAAATTTTACGCGCGCTTGGATTCACGACCTCTTCAATTTGTTTAGGAACTACCGACAAAGTGGATGATGCAGACTAAACACAAAATAAAGTTAAAAAAAGTAAACATTTTAGACATAAAAAACAAAAAAAAAGGGTATACGTGATTCTTACCTCTTCTGCGTTTTCGACATTTCGCAAAGCTGCTAATTTCTTTTCCAAATCTGCAATCGAGTTCTGATTGATTGATCCGTTGCTGGGATTTCTTTGCGGAGGATCACTGCTGTTTGTTGTAATGGATGTGGTCGATGGTTTTTCTAAGCTAGGCTGTTTGGACAGTTGCTTCTCGTGACCCGTGCCAATGGTAATGCCAACTGATGCCTCAGTTGGAGTCGGATCCGAGTTACTAACTGTCCCTTCAAGATTAGTGGAGGTTTGCAAGTGCACATCGGATCCCATGCTGTTGTCGATGGAAGTGCGCCGTGAATTGTAGACGGACGAGCCAGAACCCCTAGCGGATGTCAAAGCAGCAGTGGGAGTATTCTGACCCACTGAAGGTGCTGATGGCCCTGCTCCGTTGTTGGATTTGCTTACCTATGAGAATCATATTTAATTTATTTTAAGAAATATTTGCACAATAACATTATACATTCCGATCGGAAAAAAAAACAAAGGCGACTAAAATTATTATTAATTATTATTACTAATAAACCAAACAAAATTGTATTTACAATTTAACAAAATCTGTAAAGATGTGGGCGCTAGAAAAATTTTAAGGACGTTTAAGGCGATTGTGGGCAAGGCACCTTGATGAAACAAACTTGCGGAGGAACCCCTAGAATCCGAGATCTCAGCGTTCATACAGATAGGCAGACGGACGGACGGACATGGCTATATCGACTCGGCTAGTGACCCTGATCAAGAATATAAATACTTTATAGGGTCGGAAACGCTTCCTTCTCCCTGTTACATACTTTTGCACGAATACAATATACCCTTTTACTCTACGAGTAACGGGTATAATAAGAAGCTTACAAAAATATGAACCTCCGCGTCAAAGAGCTATAACCGCATTTTTAATAGCAGAAGAAAGGTTAGAAAAAAACCACAACAAATGTACTCCATTTTAGATCGAAGAGTCAAAATGATCTCCTTTACCCTATAACGTTAACAGCGAAAGTAAGTTTCGTACTGTTATTACCTCAGTACTGGAGCTAGACCATTTTGCAACGTTCCCTAAAATGATGTAGGAAAAAGTTATAACCAAAAGAACAGCCTCTCCGATTATACCAGTCTTATTCCAATAGCTCTTTATTTATAGCTTCTATGTCTAACCAAACTTTTCCTCTTATTAGAGCCCCCCTCTCCCCTAACTTTGTAAGAAGTAGTCGTTTTGATTTTTGACAATTTAAAAACAACATTTTAAAATTTAAATAGACATACCTGCAAGGGTGTATAAACTTCGGCTGGCCGAAGTTAACTTCCTTTCTTGTTTTTCTTTTTTTTACTGTATAATATAATTTTAAATTACCTCTTGTGTCTGTGTTGATCCAGAAGTAGCTTTCAGTGAGGACATGGCTGGGGCTGGGGAAGCCTGGTGAGGAGCCCTGTTATTGATCGACGCTACTACCGCTGAGGCAAAAGCGTGAGCATGAGTTATGTTCTCCAGTTCTATCTTTAACTGCTCCAGAGTGTTGGCTGCTCCGGTTCCCTGGTTTGCCATTGCATGGGCGGATTTATCTTTGGGCTTCTCTGCTTCCATTGCGATGGCTTGCTGAGCATTTTCCGAAGGTTCAAATGAGGCCTTGTTGGGCATATCAAAGGTTATTTTCACAGCGGTCAAATCGTCAAGGCTTCTAGTATGCTTTAAGTCTTCTTGAATCTTCAGGTGACGATTCAAGGGTAGATTCAGGCTACGGGGAGCACCACCGCCGGTCGACTCCAAAAGCTTCTGCATTCTAGCGATAGCAAGGGAGCAAGGCTTCTGGTTGACAGTCAGTGACTCCTTGATATCGTCGAGCTGTGGTTCCGGACCAGTTGGAGTAATATTGCTGTCAGGCATATAGTCAATCGACAGCGAAGTATATTCAGATGCCGTGCTTGTCTTGCGGGAAACGGATCCCGACCCAATAGTCACGTCATTGCTGCTATTGGGTGCATCCCTCGATGCGGTTGATGAGGAAGACATGGTCGACGTGGTTGTGGGTGGGGTTCCAACATTAGCCTGGGGTTCTTGCGCATTCGTTATGTTGGATACATGTGGCCTGGCATCGAAAGTTAAATTGGGGTTTGACGGTTCGGTGCCTCCTCCGCTGGAAGGCAGAGTTTCCACACCATGGATAGTGGGTTCGAACATTTTGGTAATGTCGCTGGCGGTTTCATCCCGCTAAAATAAGTTAGATAAATGTGAGTTAAAGTAGTCAAGCAAGTTCACAAGTATTTAAAAAAATGTATTGAAAGTGAAACCGAAAGGAGCAGAAGAAAATAAGTAATAGTACTCCTAAATAAAGATTTTAAAAATAAGATCACCAGTTTACCTAAAAACTATTTATTTGCTTTGGGAGCCATAAAAGGGTAGAAATTTGATTGTTTAAAAATTATTTAAATCCCCTAACCGGAGTTGTTGTAGAAAAGAAGAGAAAAAAGGTTTTACAAAAATAAAGTAATTTTATAATTTTTAGCTGGCAATAATTGGTTTAGGATGACGGACAAAATGTACGATTTCAAAATCGATGGCACTTTGTTGATAACTCTGAAAACGACTTGCAATAATATTATTAAAAATAAACATCAAATAATTTTAACAATAATTAATTTTCTGAATTAATTCTAAGAATAAAAATAAAAACCTCGTAAGTAAAGAAACATTTTAGCTAGGAAAACAATAAGTGTTTATAAGCCCAGTGCACTCAACACTTACAGATCTATGTCTTTGGTGTGACCTAAACGTGGAACGCTGTCGAGTTAGAGACGCGTGTCGGACCTGTTTTGTTATAGTAGGGATAGACAATCAAAAAACATTGATTTTGTGATATGGATAATAAAATCGCTTAGTTAAGTATTTCACGGAATCGTTTTCGCGTCATTTTCTTGACATTGAATCGCTGCTTTTCAGAAGAAAAGGAAGGAAACGGACTCATTTATCGGTGATATAACTTAAGGCTTTTTTTTATCGCCAAAAAATCATATCTATGAAGAAATATACTTATATTTGTGAAAATTAGTTGTGATGCTTAAACTCTTAACATGTATAATTTTTTTAAGATCGGACTTCTAACACTACATAAAATTTGGGTGAAGATAGGTGCCGCCATGATGCAATTTATCACCAATAGGAACGAAGGGCTTTAAATGTAATGTCATTCCTTAAAAAGATTGTTGATTCATGTAAGTGTTTGTTCATCCAACAAACAGTATCCATCTCTGCGTTTAAAGAACCCTGAGGCCTCGTAAGAACAGTCTTCATTGAATAAGAAAGAAATTTCTGTGGAAGTAATTTTGGGATATCGATGTACCTTTTCAATATTGCGGCGATAATTAGTCGGTATAGGAATTTGATTAGGATTCTGTTTGACTTGGTCAACAATTTCATTGATCATTTCCACAAAAACTGAACTTTGGCAATTAGAAAGCAAATCTTGGGCGATCTGAAAGACAAAATAGTTGATGATTGAGTGTTGCTTGTATTAAAAGTTTGTCTCACCAATTTATTGGCAATTTCAACCGGATTAACGTCTCCTATGTCGAATTTAAATGTAATCGTTTTAAGTTTGTTTTCCATGTGGCAGTTTATGACACTGCCCTCGTCCACACTGGTAACGCTTAGCTTCGGAATCCTTTCGTTGCCGCTTCGATTGGAACGTCTTGGTTTTTGGGAACGTGAAGCAGCGCCCTGTTGTTTCTGCTGCTTTTCCGCATCTACAGCTGTTTGGGGGTCTGTTTTGGAAGCACCTTCGGTGTTAGTTTGGGTACTATTAACAGACATGGTTTCTGTTGCTGTCGGTAGCTCCTGGTTGACTTGGATTTGATTCAGATTTTCCTGTTGCTTTGGGACTTGCGAAGGAATCTGTGAGCGCTGTTCCGCTTGGGGTTGTGGCTGTTGTAGTTGATGCTGTTGAGCTCCCGGTATCAGCTGAGGCTGCGGGGGCTGCTGATGCTGGGCCAACGGTGGCTGCTGTTGGATCGTAGGTTGCTGCGGCTGCTGGCTTATAGGCTGCTGTGGTTGTTGTTGCTGGGGCGGCTGGCTATGTAACAACTGCTGCAATTGCTGCTCTAAAGGCATTGACAACTGTATTGGTTGCTGAGTGGCCTGTGCCACAAATTGTGGTTGCTGCGAAGGAACGGCCGAGAAGCCTGCAATTTGCTGCTGCTGGGGATCACCGAGAGGAACTTGTGGGGGTTGCTGGTTGAACGACTGCTGTATTGCAGGAGCCACTGAAGTGGGTGGAACTTGCATCTGAACTGGAAGCTGCATAGGCTGCTGATGTTGCTGCGGTGCCATCACCTGAGATCCCGCGACTAGTTGTTGGTGTTGTTGCTGTGGCATGGTCTGAGCATACTGCTGCTGCTGCTGCTGAGCAAACTGCTGCTGTTGGAGCTGCTGTTGCTGGAGTTGCTGTTGTTGAATTTGCTGTTGCTGCTGCTGTTGGAGTTGCTGTTGCTGAAGTTGTTGCTGCTGGAGTTGCTGCAGTTGATGCTGGGCTAATTGCTGCTGTAATATCTGTTGTTGGTGCGAGACCGCCGCTTGTTGGTGCTGCTGTAGGATCTGTTGTTGAATTTGAAGGGGCTGCGTTAGCTGTTGCTGGTGGCCAGCCTGTTGCATCGCGTAAGCCTGTTGCTGCTGCGCAAGCTGATTCGGATGCAAGGGAATCGGCGCCTGTGGTTGCTGCTGCTGCTGAAAGTATTGTTGGGCCTGTTGCTGAGCCATTTGTTGCTGCTGTGCCAGGTCCGGTGCCTGCACGTTCGTGTGCATGAGCTGCTGCAGTTGCTGCTGCAACGGAATCTGTTGGCTCTTTTGTTGATCTGGCAATGTTTGTTGTTGTTGTGGCTGCTGCTCGTGTTGCTGTGGTGGTAAAACCGTTTGTGGCTGTTGTTGCTGGGCCACTTGCTGCACTTGAACTTGCTGTGGCATTTGCTGCATCATTTGTGGCTGCTGCTGTTGCTGGTTTACTTGTTGCTGCGGCAAGATCTGGTGATTAACGGTCGGTGCAGCAATAGATTGCTGCTGTTGCATCTGTTGACTGCCCGTCGGGGAGATAACCTGGTTGCCTGCCATTTCCTGCATGGTCGGATTGGAGTTCTGATATGAAGCCAGTTGCGGCGGTTGAATGTAATGCACAGTTGGCTTCTGTTGCATGGGAATGGCCGGTGAGGAAATGGCTTGCGGCTGCACCGAGATCAACTGGGGGACGCCCGCAGGACCTGCGACCTGAAGTGGCTGCTGGATGCCACTGTTCGGAATCGAAGTGTTCGAGCGTGCTGACAGTTGTTGTGGCTCGACGCTGTTCGTGGAGAGAGCTAGGCTAGTTTCTGAATCAGTGTTGAGCAGGTCGTACTTGAGCTGCAGGCGCTGATTCCACTTTACGCCGTCCTCCTCGTCCTCGGACTCCTCCTCCTCTTCCTCGTCTTCGTCGACGTTGGTCGGTAAACTCTCACGTTGTTTTTGTAATGCAAGTTTCTCCAAACGCGACTTCTCGTTTTGCAGCTTGATTTGAGTTTGACGCTGGGCACGCTCCTTGAGCAGCGATACAACTTGCACCTTCAGAAGTCGAGCTACAGCGCGAGAATCATCCTCGGATATGATATTTTCCTTCATCATTTCCTGCGCAATCTGCTCGTACTCATCGTGCTTGATGTTGTACTCGAACTGGATCGCCTCGTTCTCTTTGTGTCGCGACGAGCGCTTTTTTGGGTCCATGAAACGCAGCCGGAACTCGATTATGCTGATGCTGGGATCAGAAAGAAACTGTTCGGAGGCAGTGGGCTCCACGCGTATGCCGATGTCCTCGTCAAAGAACTCTGATTCTAGAAGTTCATTACAGCTGGGGCGATCCTCCTTTTTTAGTTCGATGCACCGCTCGATAATGTCGCGCACGTTGGGATCCTCCACCTTGGCCAGCGCTGCTGGCTTTATGCCCGAGATCACCTTCTTGTAAATCTGTGCGGGACCCTTGCACTCGCTATACGGATATTCGGAGATGGCCATCTCCAACATGCACATGCCGAAGGCATATACGTCCACCGACTCGTCGTAGTGCTCTTCGTACATTTCCGGGGCCATGAACTCCGGCGTTCCAATCACAGATTTCGCGTGGGAGCGGTTCTTCAACGTTGCCAGGCCCAAATCGCCGATTTTAACACTACCAGTGGTGCCAGTTATAAAAATATTATCACATTTCAAATCACGATGAATTATAGGAAATTGACGAGTATGCAGGAAGTTGAGGCCTTTCAGGATCTGGCGACACCATGACTTCAATACCTTTGGGTGTATTTTCTTGAATCGTTTCAAATAGCTGCAAGTAAATTAGAGTTTATATTTGTGAATCAAGTGCCACTTATACTCTTACGATTTCAAAGTTCCAGATAACATTAGTTCGGTGACTAGTACTATATTCTTCTTGCGGCCGATGGGAAACTCCCAATATGTATAGAACCGCACAATGTTTGGGTGCTGAAGTTTCTTCAGCATGTCTGCCTCCTCGCGGAATCTGGTGCGTTCACTTTTCTTCACTTGCTTGTCCTGTAAAAACAAAAACACAAATTGAAATAAAAATAAAAAAATTAATAAAAAATGATTCATTCATTTAATGAGTACTCATATTGTCAGGACCGTAATCCATTATATAACATGATTATATAATCAAAAATCTTGATAACCATTATCTTTCTGATAAGTAACTTATGCCAGCTTGAGCCAATGTTCAGTTTGACTAATTTCGCTTTGTTTATCAAGTTGATATTATCAACATAAAGACATTTTAAAAGAAAAAAACATTTTTTTTCTGATAAGTTCTTAACTTCTTCTTTTTTACCAAAAAAAAAAAATATATTCTTCAACTTAGCCACCGGACCTCTTTTTTAATACAAAATTTTCCTTGTAAAAAAATGAAATTAAGTCTGGTTTAAAGACTTCAATGAAAAACTCGCATTTGAAGTAAACTTATTGTTGTACCTTAAACATAATAACTTGGTAAAAACCTACCAGTAATTCGCACCAGGCGACGGGAACTCCAGTCAACGTGTCCAGGCCACGATAGACAGTTTTAAAGGAACCGCGTCCGACCTCCTTGTCGTACTTAAAGAAACGCCCGCACGGAGACATGGCCACCGGGTCATCGTCCTCATCGCTCTTACTCTTGGTGATCGATGTGGCCGATGAGGTGGTGGACACTGTCGACGTGGAGGGTAGCAGGGATGCGGAAGCATCCGGAGAGGACCCAGTGACAGTGGCTTCCTCAGCGCTAGCCTCGGCGCTCTCCGACTTCTTGGCTATACTATCGATACTCTTTGGCTGCTTTTCGCTATGACTTTCGGTATCATCCTTCTCCTCTACCTGAAAGCCAACGCGCTTGACGCCGCTGGAGTGCTTGGTGGAGGACCTTAATGGCACATCGTCTTCAGTCTTCTCGATTGCAAGACTCCGTGACGCTTCGGTAATAATGTTGTCGATGATGCCGGCCACCTGGTGGGAAGCGGCATCCGTAGCATTTGACCGCGTAGGCGTGCGGAACTGTTCCTCCAGGTGCTCCGCCTCGCGGGACAGCATCTCGATATTGTCATCATAGTCGCGCGGAAACTCCGTCTCGAGCTCCACGAATTGCAGTGGATTGGTGTTCCTGCCCGACTGCTCCACATTTTTTCGGACAAATCGGATGTTCTGCACGAAGTTTGCCGTCAGGGTCGTGGGCGTGGTCTTGGACGAGTGCAGTGGCGCCTGTTGCTTGATCAACGGCTCTATGACCGTGTCCGAGGAGGATTTCCTGGCCTCCATTTTCTTGGTGTCTGAGACAACCGCTTGCGACGTCCCTTTGACCGACTTGTCTTTTTTGGGATTGCCCGAAGCTAGACCAGTTTTCTGGTGGCTCTTGGCATCTGCAGGCTCTGTTTTGGCATCCATTTTGTCCTCATTGTGTTTCCTGCTCTGATTGTCCTGGGAGCAAAGCACCTCTACATCGGTCGTTTGCTGCTTGTTCAGAGCGCCGTTGTTGTTGTCGTTGACTTTCGGTGCTTCGACTTCGACTTTTGGGCTCACCGTTGTCTTTCCGGAAAGGGAGTTACTGGAAAAGCGTCGAAGTACCCGCACGAAAAGGTTACTTTTGCTGGAAGCCGGTGGTGTATGCGTGGTGTGCAGCGTGGGCAGAGAGGAAGCTGGCTCGATGAGTGACGATTGGATCGATGTGGTGCTGCTGGTGCTCGTGTGTGCAGAAAGTGCGTCCTGCTTGCGAGTGGGCTTTCTGCTCAGTGTGTCCTTTAGTTTTGATGTCGGGTTCGAGCTTTGCCTAGAGGAGGCAGACCTATTAAACGAACGGTGTCCCGACTTTTGTATATTAGCTCCCTGCACAGCTTGCTCCTCGCTAGAAATGGAGGTATTCCTAAGATGAGAAAATCAAATAACAGGGATTAGATTGTTGTAAATAAATATTTGAATGTAAATACTTAATGCAAGTGCCACATATTTCTCAGTAAATTTCCTTTATATAAACAGTTTTATAAACAATATTTATGAGAAATAAAGCGGTTTCATTTTACGAGATTGGTGAAGGTTTCAATAACTATTTCCTTATTATTAAAATCCACTAATGTGTAGGGAATAAACCAGCAATATCTGGGACGAAACGAACATTTTTCACATTAAATTCTGTTGAAATTGAACGATCTATAATAGGAAGATATTTCTGTGTGAAGTTCTTCCTTACGAGCATGGGTTTTATAAATATTATATATATTTTTTCTCAACTGCTCTTCTATACTTGTTGAAGAAAACACCTTCGCCATTTCTTAGGAGCCCAAAGACTTATCTTATTTCCTCAAAATCAAAAATATATTTTGAAAACTTCAACATTAACCAGAAATATCCCCTCCTCCTTGTAGTAATTAATCTTGCATGACTCCAGCCACCCACCTTTGAGGTTGCGTGGTGCAGGAGGTAGTACCATCTTCGCTGATGGCGCTTCCCTTCCGAGCACGGTTCGCAGGTACGACCTCTTGTTGTCGTACAAAGTCGCAGAGGGTTTGTCCAATTTTGCAAGATTTTCAGCAGCAGACCACCACGTTTAATCTGGAATGAGAGTCAAGGCGGGGGATGAGTACTGGAGGGCAGGGGCTGTGTTCAAGGTTAAATTCCGGCAGTGTTCACTGGATGGTAAGGCGGGGGCTGGGCCGGAGGGGTGACCATTCCACCCACTTTGTTCGTTGCTGGGTGCCGTCGCCTGAAATATCGCTTACAGCTGGGTGGAAGAGGCAGCGCAGCCGTCTCCTGGAGGCCGAGGTGTACGCTTTCCATGAATCACTAGTTTCGATTGCACTACGTTCGTCACTGCTCTGCCGTTCTGTTCTATCGCGGGGGATATGTGCGTATGTGCGGTACGCTGGCTATACATACATATTTATGTACATTGATTCGGGGCAGGAAGCATATGCAACGGCTATGATGTCATGGTTCAGCGCCGCTCCTTCCGGAAATCCTCCGCTCGACGGGATCAGAGTTCGGGACGGGGACTAGGGCTCGTACTGCGACTGTCCGACCGTTCGCATCGAGGTTTTCAGTTTGTGATTGTGGTGTTCAAAGGTAATTCGAGTTAGCAGGTTTTCATATTACAGCACTGCGGATTTGCCAGTCTTCCGGGGGAATCTGTCGCCACCACAAGGGGGTCAATTGCATTGGACGCGCCCGGGAGCCAACGGGAAATTAAAGAATTTCGCCTGAATTTACTTTCACAAAAAAAATGTACAAAGCAACTTATTTCGTGATATATCGATAGCGAATTATTGTTACACAAGTGTTATCGACGGAGATGCCAACCCGGCACGGTTATCATTTTGTCTAATATATGTAATAGGGTCTTCCCACAGAGCTCCGTTGAACGGATGGTCCGTAAGGTTTTGCCGTTCCGAAAATTTCCCAGTTAGTCCGCCATCCAATTTTGACGGACTTTGACGGGCTCTTTTATGCGATAGTTAGGCGATGTTTTCTCGGTGCAACTCTGAATTCTTCCTCTTGACTGTGAAATCAAATCGATGGCGGGAAAAATTAAATAATGCTTCAGCTCATTGTTTTTTGGGTTTTTTTAAATTATTTGTAGTTTGTTATGAGCGGAAAAGCGTTCGCAAGCAGGTTGCTATGTGTGGGCCAAAATGTAAGCTGTTGTGCGTACACCCAAAAAAAAATCGATATGAATCGTAGGTCAATTTGACCTTTTTTAGGATCATTTTTAACTTGATATGGGGACAGGTAAATGTGATATGGTCGAAAATGTAAGAACGAAAATTTTCATTATTCCTGACCAAAACTTATTCTAGTGCGAGCGAGAAAACATGCTTGAAGTACGTCAGTTCGAATTTCGAATACGTCTTTCTTGCTTCCACTCATGTCATTTTGCTCGCCATATTGATTCTTGCGCTCTTTTTCGAAGTTAAGCCTAGTACTCAGTTCGGCTAAGAGTTTTACTAGTCGAAAAATATTAATATTTTAGGGTGACCGAAGTTTTCGGAGTTCATCCGCAATGCATGTAGAATGGTCTTACTCTCAGCAAGCAAATTAACTGGCGCCAATTTTGAAATATTACAAAATGATAAGCCGACCTAGGTCGCAAGCTTTAAATTTGCTGTTGGAATGAGGATATATATTGCTGCAACTCCTACAGGCAGTTTTCCATTGGTTTTTGGGGTTTTCATTCTATTTATAATATGTTATTGGCACACCGCTTCTGCACAAACACAGCCAAAGATCAAATTTTTTATTCTTTGGGCCGCGGCTAAAGGCGTTCATCAGAATTCATCCGCTAAATCTAGTATTTTAGTGGTATTTTCTTACTATTTCCTTAGCTCAACTGAGTACCGAGGTGGGAAAAAGTCCCCGACTAAGGGCTTTAGCTACCTATTTGCCTCTCGCTTACTCCTATGCTTAGCTAGCAGTTTTCGTCGTACTGAGTACTAGGCTTTAGAGAATCTCCGAGAGAGAGAATTCGGCAAAATGATATTATTTAATGTAAATTTTATGAATATTTCAGGTAAAAACGATATGAGTAGGAATAACCAGAAAATTACCTGGACTTATCGATTTTACGGCGACGTGCTTTTTTTGTGTGTACGAAAACATCAATGTTTGCAGCAAAGTGTCAAGATATGTTCTGCACTTCGTAAATATAACTAATATTAATTAGAAGTGTACTTTATACTCCTTAAAATCAGGATACCATTTCTGGTCAATTCTGGTTTTGGACCAAAGAGTCTTACGTTTTTATTAAAGCCCAGTACTCAGTTCGGCTAAGAGTTTTACTAGTCGAAAAATATTAATATTTTAGGGTGACCGAAGTTTTCGGAGTTCATCCGCAATGCATGTAGCATGGTCTTACTCTCAGCAAACAAATCAACTGGCGCCAATTTTAAAATATTACAAAACGTTGAGCCGACCTGGGTCGCAAGCTTTAATTTCCCTGTTGGAATGGCGATATGTATTGCAGCAACTCCTACAGGCAGTTTTCCAATGGTTTTTGTGGTTTTCCTTCCATTTATACATTGTTATTGGCAAACCGCTTCTGCACAAACACAGCCAAAGATCAAATTTTTTATTCTTCGGGCCGCGGCTAAAGGCGTTCATCGGAATTCATCCGCTAAATCTAGTATTTTAGTGGTATTTTCTTACTATTTCCTTAGCTCAACTGAGTACCGAGGTGGGAAAAAGTCCCCGGCTAGGGGCTTTAGCTACCTATTTGCCTCTCGCTTACTCCTATGCTTAGCTAGCAGTTTTCGTCGTACTGAGTACTAGGCTTAAGCCTAGTACTCAGTACGGCTAAGAGTTTTACTAGTCGAAAAATATTAATCTTTTGGTGTGACCGAAGTTTTCGGAGTTCATCCGCAATGCATGTAGAATGGTCTTACTCTTAGCAAGCAAATTAACTGGCGCCAATTTTGAAATATTACAAAATGATTAGCCGACCTAGGTCGCAAGCTTTAAATTTGCTGTTGGAATGAGGATATGTATTGCTACAACTCCTACAGGCAGTTTTCCATTGGTTTTTGGGGTTTTCATTCTATTTATAATATGTTATTGGCATACCGCTTCTGCACAAACACAGCCAAAGATCAAATTTTTTATTCTTCGGGCCGCGGCTAAAGGCGTTCATCGGAATTCATCCGCTAAATCTAGTATTTTAGTGGTATTTTCTTACTATTTCCTTAGCTCAACTGAGTACCGAGGTGGGAAAAAGTCCCCGACTAAGGGCTTTAGCTACCTATTTGCCTCTCGCTTACTCCTATGCTTAGCTAGCAGTTTTCGTCGTACTGAGTACTAGGCTTTAGAGAATCTCCGAGAGAGAGAATTCGGCAAAATGATATTATTTAATGTAAATTTTATGAATATTTCAGGTAAAAACGATATGAGTAGGAATAACCAGAAAATTACCTGGACTTATCGATTTTACGGCGACGTGCTTTTTTTTGTGTGTACGAAAACATCAATGTTTGCAGCAAAGTGTCAAGATATGTTCTGCACTTCGTAAATATAACTAATATTAATTAGAAGTGTACTTTATACTCCTTAAAATCAGGATACCATTTCTGGTCAATTCTGGTTTTGGACCAAAGAGTCTTACGTTTTTATTAAAGCCCAGTACTCAGTTCGGCTAAGAGTTTTACTAGTCGAAAAATATTAATATTTTAGGGTGACCGAAGTTTTCGGAGTTCATCCGCAATGCATGTAGCATGGTCTTACTCTCAGCAAACAAATCAACTGGCGCCAATTTTAAAATATTACAAAACGTTGAGCCGACCTGGGTCGCAAGCTTTAATTTCCCTGTTGGAATGGCGATATGTATTGCAGCAACTCCTACAGGCAGTTTTCCAATGGTTTTTGTGGTTTTCCTTCCATTTATACATTGTTATTGGCAAACCGCTTCTGCACAAACACAGCCAAAGATCAAATTTTTTATTCTTCGGGCCGCGGCTAAAGGCGTTCATCGGAATTCATCCGCTAAATCTAGTATTTTAGTGGTATTTTCTTACTATTTCCTTAGCTCAACTGAGTACCGAGGTGGGAAAAAGTCCCCGGCTAGGGGCTTTAGCTACCTATTTGCCTCTCGCTTACTCCTATGCTTAGCTAGCAGTTTTCGTCGTACTGAGTACTAGGCTTTAAGCTGTAAAAAGTCCCTAATAACCGAAAATTTGGTTCTTCGAATATAGTAGATGGTAGAATATAAAATAAAAATCCTATAAAGAAAAAGTCTGGACTTTGTGGAAAACAAGTTTTGTAATGAGTCCGTTAAAATGTAATATTCCCAATTCTAATTAAAAGACTTTTGATTGCAATTTAAAAAATATATTTATTATAACTTATTTCTTTTCTTTTTAAGATACCTACATAAATAAATGAATTATAAATATAATTGCACAAGCAGAGTAATAATCGATTGAAAATGATTTGATAAGATCACCTTAACATTTTAAAATTTAATTAAATAGGAAATCTATAAGGGCACGGTGCTTGTATACATTACCATACAAATTTAATCACTTTTTACAAAGACCCTACCTTTGCCAGTAACAAAATTCGTGCACAATGAATAGTTATAATTAATCGGTTTCCAAATACATTGGCATAATCGCTAGAATAAATTAAATTAAAATAAATAGTTTTTTATTTAACTCTTTTTTATGAGCATGATCCTTTACTTTTAATCGTCACACCTGAAATAAAAAAGTGATGGTTTATATTGGAATTATAAAACGTTGTACTATTTCTTACTTATATTAAGGCAGGTGGAATAACACTGCAACTGAGTTTCTCCCGTGTACATGTATCCATCGGATCCACAAATGATTTCATCATTCTCATCATATACATTAGCGCAGACCTTCTCACAGTAACTTTCGTTGTCCTTTGGGCTATCTAGAGTTGCAGAATTGGTCCCAGTTGGCACCTTCTGATCCTCTTGCTGGAATAAGAACGAACATTTATCCATAAGAATATTTTTCAAACATTGTTTTAATAATAATTATATATACATAGGTATACAATGTTATAATTTTGGCTACAGTATTTTGGACTCAATTATTTTAACCAGAATTAGCAAAATGTAACCTTTTTTTTACTTGTTCGATTTTTGAAACTAACAATGATGTCTTTTACGCGGCTCGATCTCATGACCGCAAGGTTTTAGGCCAAAATTCTAACCGCTAGACCATCTAGCCCTTTAATACGAAAGGAAAGAAAGCGGAAAATAGTTCAATAGACAGATTGACAGGTAGACAGCGCTCTATTTGAAAATCCAAAGTAGGCTACGTTGTAGTGCGAAATTCATTTAACAAAAGAGAACACATGTTTTTAAATTAAGAATTTTGTTCTTAAATGTAAATGCTCAGTGTAGCATACTTCTGAAACCCATATTTTGCATATTTCACCTGATTTTTGTATATATTAACAACTTTTCGAATCTGAATAGTTTCATATTTCGTCATATTTCATCATAATCTTCATCAACTAGTCAATTATAAAAGCCAACCCACCTGTTTTCCAGTTTCGGTATCTGAACTGTCTTCAGGATCGTCACTGTATTCCTTGATGGGCTTGCTGAGTTCCAAGATCGGGGCAGCAGACTTGACGGGTTCACGGACTGCTTGGGCCACAGTTTCGTAGTAGTACTGATTGGCCTGCGGGGATTGGGTGTACTTCATACTTCCCCTGATCGCGTCCTGTTCGGTGAACTCAAATCGGAGGGGTTCTGGTGTGAAGCTCTTGTGGCTCTTGGCGAGTTGATGGCTCTTTGGCGGGGTTTGAGTGGTAGTTTGGACCGACATGGGAGTGGAGACCACATGCTTCACCGCCTTGTTGCCATCGGACTTTACCACAAAAACATCCTGACCAGCTTGATAACTGCCGCGGACTACAGCGGAATTCGCAGGAGCGGGATCTTGCTGGTAGAACAAGTCGGAGACTTGTATGGGTTCATTGTAACTGGAGGAGACCGAGTTGTCTAGGCCAGCAGTCTTATAGGGAAGATGTTGCTTCAGCGGTTGATGCTGCTGCTGCGGTTGCTGGTGTTGCAGCATCTGATGTTGCTGCGTCGTCTGTTGTTGCTGTAGTTGCTGATTGTGTTGCTGTGGATATTGGTGAACCTGAGTCTGCTGATCACGCTGGGCATCCAACTTCTTGTAGTCGGGGTCTCTCTTGGGCAGGAAGTATTCGTTTGTGCTCATAAAGTGCAAGTAGTCCTGCGCCTCCTTCGACTCCTTTGCGGGAGGCACTGCCTGGCGATAGCTAGGCCCCTGATTAATTCCTGGTTTCGGCTGATTGTCAGACTCCTCGTAGACCGAGTAGCTATTCGGATCCTGGGGGTACTGGCTGTTTTGGAGGGCAGTCTGCTGCGAGGGCACCACACTGAAACCGGCACCCTGCTGTCCAAAGAGCTTGGGATAATGCAGATACTGGGAGGCCTGGACAGGAATCGCGTGTTGTTGGATGGGGGCATACACTGGTTTCTGGTCCTTCATTATCACATTGCCATTAAAGCGCGGCGAGGACTTGAAGTTTTGGATGTACTGCTCCGAGAGATATTGCGGTGGAAACTGGTTTTTCCCCACATCGAGAACTGGTGCATCCTTCACGTGGGCAAACCTTCCTGGCTGATTCTGGTCGAATTGGTACCGCCTGAGCTGATCGTTTGGAGGAAAGTTGCCGAACTGCTCGCGACGCATAATGTGCTGAACGGTTGCGGGCTGCTGAGATCTCAGGAACTTGTTGGGATTGAGGTTGCTCGAAAGAAGGGGCAGGCTATCCGATCGCGACCTTATCCGGGGCAGTAGTCCGGGACCTGGTGGCCGGTTGTGGTTGAAATGCGGCTGGGGCTCACTGAGAAACTGCATTATGCGCGCTTGCCGCGGATCGTTCTTATCGCACTGCACTTGTTTAACTAGGAATAATACAAGAACTAGAGCCCCCAAGAGAGGGGCTAATTTGATGGCACTTTGCGTCATTTTAAAAGTCCGATTGGCGTTAGGCGCGTCTTAATTCCACGACGGTCTATTCGTATTTGACATTTGTCAGTTCCGCGGCCAAAAGCAAAAAAGTTTCTTTCGAATTAACCACGCACACATGCGAAGCTTCTTTTTCTTTCGCCACGATCTCGCAGACTTGATCTCACTTTCTTTGTTATCCGGCCAGTCGTTTAAAATAAAAATGGAACGCCTTGCGGCAGTGCAGCCAAATACCAAATCAAATCGGACCCAGATGCAGCGATCTATTCAAAACCGAGTGGCTTTGGCTTCACATGGGTATGGGTATGGGTACATTCTTCAGAGCCTGTTGTTTAAACGCTAAAGAACCGTTAATCAGCCGAGGGTCTCGACTATCCATCCGATCACTTTCTTCTCGAAATTCGGCGGTGTCGTTGGTTGGAAAGCAACTGAGTTGCAAATGGAACGTTTCTGAGCCAGCTGTGCTGGAATTTGTCGGAATGGCCATTAAACCAGTTTTGAGACTCTGCCACGGAGGAAATGTGGATGTGGTAGCCACCAAGAGATCACCGAGAGATCACATCACACTCGACTCGAAGATGGAGATGAAGAAGCCGAGGCACTCGAACCTCGGGGCACAGTGGTATCGCTTCAGATGCGACTGATCTATTTGCCAGATTTACTTTTTAATTCGGCTATCTTAAGTGCAGGTGAAAGTAAATCGGAGCTGATCGAGAAACAAACATTTTGGAAACCCTTTGCGTAGTGGGCAGCTTCTGGCTCGAAAATCCCTCAAACCTCAAAGATTAATTGGCTTACACAGAATGCCCGATCGCTGGATAGGAGATTTTGAAATTGAGGGTTTATTTACCTCTGACTCGTTAGCATCGAGAAAAAGTGAAAATGTATTTTAATTATAGATACTGGGATAATGGGTACAACTTTCGCTTTTGTCGTCAATTTGGCATTGCTTATTCGAGAGAACAAGCCAAGAAAACGATAATTTCGATTATTGTTATGCAAATCGTTTGAAACCGTAATCGTTCGTTAATTTATTCATTCATAAAACCCCTGTTATTTCTGTTTATTTAAAAAGTTTAAGTTCATAAAGTTTCAAACATCTGTGATTCCTTTGTGCTGAGGAAATCTGTAAAGATGCAAAAGTATAGTAATTTTTTTCGCACAAATAACGACCAAAGCTTTCTAATTGTTTACCAAATAAATATAAATACAAATGCTCGATATTTAAAAAACTCATAGTACTTTTTATTAAATATGATGAGATGTGGTAGCAATAATTTAATCTTCTTTTGTGCTGAGTCATTGAAAATTAGTCAAATTCGTGGAACAGACTAACTTATTTTACATTTGGAAACAACTCTGAGTTCTTAAATTTAAACTACAAATAGCTGCGCACAGAACCTTAGGTTTTTCACTCGACGTCTTTAGTTTAAACTACAATAGGTGCATTGGCCTCCTGCTTATATACAAGTTTCCTCATTTTCGATCCAAATATCGTTCTCCACCTTGGGCTCTTCACAAACTGTGTGGCTATTTTCTAGCACTATAACAATGTCAGTTGTACTAAGAACGGTAGAGTCCGCATTCTGCAAATAAGAACAAAGTTCACGGTTAATATATAGGAAATCCAAAACGTAATTCCTCAAAAGTAACTCAAACTTATACACTCACATACGAGCTCTTTAATTCGTTCGACATGCACCTCAACGAAAAAGTTATGTTCCCATAGGTACACATGTAAACAAAGCCAAATCAAGCTAAACAAGGGTAAAACAAGAGTGCTAAGCAACTTCAGCATTGGGAATTAAAAAGTTTCGCAAATTGACACAGAGTAAAAAAACTTTTTAATTTGATTTATTCACCAAGCTATCTTTGAACTTCAAAAGTTCGACGACACGGAAGAAGTTTGGAAATAATTGTTGAATTTCCATAACAAGAGAGTCAGTGTGTTAGCACTAAAATTTGAATTACCTTTTAAAATTGATTAGTAGTAGTGTATAAGCTATGTGATACTTCGAACTCGCTCTAACAAAATATTTAATTTGTTTAATTACCTTCGGTAGCGGAAGACTGTATGTTTTCTTTATCAACACTCTGTTTGCAGATAAGGAGTCCGCTTCGTTTTTATTATTTTGATGCCGGCTGGATTTAACATGAACCTAAAGAGAAAATTCAAACTAGAGTTATTCGGTTTTAAGATACTATATCTTTGGAAAATAATTTACAGAATGAACTCGGTCATAGTTTATGTTGTTTCCCAGACTTGTGGCTGTGCTCTCCCGGAAACTGGAGTGATCCCTTGCAAATGCACTATTATAGTATGCACCCAATGCTTTTCCACAAAGAAGTTCTCTGAATGCTACCCTATAGCGACGTGACATTACGCTATACACTATTGGGTTAATGGTGCTGTCAATAAAATCAGTTAGCCTGTTAACTATGTTACCTTTTAAATACTTACCATGAAACGTAGTAGGCAAATCCGGCAATCGAAAAGAGTGCTTCATTTATATCGTAATAGTTTTCCATGTCCTTGGCATATAGAAATATAAGCCGTTGCAGGTGAAACGGAAACCAGCACACAAAAAAAGTTATCACCACAGCGGCTATACTGATTAAAATATTTATTATCAAATTCAGCTCGTTACGCCTAATTAGGAAAAACTTACCCAACATTCGTATCACTGCCTTCTTCCTCATTTGTGAGTTTCGTGTTTCTCTGTTATTGGTGCCATGTTGAACACCTAAAAGATATTCCTGATGTCGTATCTTTTGGGATCAATAGAAGCCAGGTACTTGCCCAATTTTTGATTTGTTCGAGAACGAATTTTAGCTCCCATTCGTCCGTAAAGTAATATGATGAGAATCATGGGAATGACGAAGAATATGCTAAAGGATACTTCAAACAAAGGATAGACATTAACAATCTCGGACATGGAACAGAATGCAGATTCCTCAATGCGAGAACCATCTGAAAAATTGTTTGGACTATACTAACAAATCTTGAAATGGTATTTAGTCCACGAGTAACGGATATAGTTACCTATTGGATACTTAAGATATTGAATATCCGAAAGTAATCCGAATGGTACGGCACTTATGAAACTGACAATCCAGAGACCTGTGATTATTTTTATTGCACGCTTAAAGCCCACCATTGCATACAAATGTAATGGGTGGCAAATCGCCAAAAACCGTTCCATGGAGAATGCCACAATGGTAAATACGGAAACATAAGTACATCTGAAATGTACTTTCGTTTAAAAATGGTTATATTTAAAAAAGCTGTATTTATACTAACGCCTCGGAAATAAATGCCCGAATTTTGCAAAATGGCATGCCGAAGAGATCTGGATACTGGTGCCAGTATAAAAACACTTCCGTTGGTAGTCCTAAAAGAATTTAATTTACACGGATTAAAGAAATATCAAACCGCCAAAGCAATGATATTAAATTGTTAGAGTTTAATTTAAATAACTTACCAAATAGTAAGTACAGCAGATCAGAGACAGCTAAACTGAAGAGATAGTAATTTGTCGCAGTGTGCATTGCCGAGTGTCGAATAATAACAATACACACTAAAAGGTTACCAATGACCCCGGTTATAAAAATGCCTCCAAATATAATTGTTATCTGAAAGAAAAAGCAAGATAACACGGTGTTACAACAAAAATCTTTTAAAATTTTTTAACGGAAATATAACCGAAAGAATATAAATAAAGATTTATATTTTGTAACATAGTGTAAATATAAGGCCATAACACATATTCATTATTTCAAAGCTCTTAGAGACAAAATATTAGGTGTATTTAAATCGAACAAAATTTAAAATATCGTCTTATGAAAGTCAATTCATATCCTAAAATCATTTCAATATAATTAATGGTTTTTTTTACATTAGGAAAAATTTTTTCGGAAAAAAAGGGATACTACTTTTGAAAATATAATTAATTTGTTGAAATTAATAGTTCTTATAATTATCAAAATAAAAAAATATGCATTTTATTATTTTTCTAACGACATGTTCAAAACGCCTTACCAAAATTGCCTTATAAAGTGGTAAGGTCTGCGGACCAAGCACAAAGGCAACAAACTCTTTGGGGGTGCAGTTAAAGGTTCCGCAGGCATAATAATCCTCTGCTTCTAATCCGTGGGACGGTTCCGAACTAACACTGGTTGCATATAACTCTGGGGTATTACTAAAACTTGTATTTAAATCTAAAAAAGTCGGATCCGTCGATGAATTCATTTTGACAACGAACTAATTGTTTTTGTTTATTTCGTATAAAATAATTTTTTTAACGGACGCCGCTGAAATTAGAATCGTCCATGGCACACGACGATTTCCGTTTAATTTTTTATGGATTGCGAGAAATACGCGCTGCGCTATCGTATAATACAGCCACTGTATCTTTTAGATGCCCACAGATTACTGTCCGCAGTCTAGCGCTAAAAAGATAAGAAGGCATGGTTTAGGCTAAATTGTAAATAAATACATACACACGGGCATATATAAACACCATGCACATATATTAGTTGTATGTATTCAAATTTATAGATATGGTTGTACATGCCGCAGAATGAGTAATTTTTTTGGGTTTACGTCAAAAACAACAAAATTTAATCTTAAATAGGTAGATAAGTAGATCAGATGTTAAACAAATGCAACCAACACAAAAGAAGTGAGAACTAATTGGAAATTCGAGTTACAGTTTTTATTTACTACTTCTCACAATTGTTCCATTTTCTTAAATGTAAAGATAGGATTAATGTTTCATAAAAAAATATTTAAAAACATATATATTTTTAAATTATAAGTAAATAGTATTTATGTTGGAATAAATTGTCAGTTGTTATAATTATTATTAAATAAATTATTAAAGGTAGAATTGACTTTTGGTTTTTTATTACTTTTTATACAAACAATATACCCTTGCTGTTTAAGTTCCTTGGGTGTTATAATTTGAAATTAAACTTCAAAGAATTTTTCCGACCATACCCGGATATCTTTTAATTTTACACTTAGATTAAATTGAAATGTCAACAAGCATAAATTTTTAAATCAAGAGAAGGAGGAAATTCTGCCTCCAAAGATTTCATTAGTCTGAAGAGGCAGGTGCACACGTTCATTTTTTTCTATTTAAATTATTTTAAAAAGCTCTGATATAAAACGTTTGCCTTTATTTGTATATGAGGATGCTATCTTATCAACTGGCACACATCTTGTTAGATCTCCTCTTCTATGAGTATATGTGTATAGTATAAGATATCGAGCGACATACGACTTAATTGCTGTCAGTTAATCTTATAGGCTAGATTAATAAAATAAAATATATCTATTAATACGTTCCCTTTTAAAGCCACCGACAAACTTAAAGCCTCGTGTATTATGTGTGAATAAAATTCAATTTAAATTGCACACCGGTGTTTAGTTTTATTGTGGTTACAAGTGTCGGCAGCAGCATCTTGGCCAGATTTATTAAGCCAGTTTGAATGGGGTTAACAAAGGCTTATACACAAATACGAATACTCGCAACCAGAAAAGTTTGCATGGATGTTGGCCACAGATTTTGTCATTATTATGAATATGTCGCCGAGACAAACTCGGCAGAGAACATTGAGACATTTTGGCTTAGCGAAGCGAACTATAGACTTTTACGCACTCGCAAACTTTCCAACTAAGTGTGCTCAGACGTGAATTTAATTTGACGAAATATGCAAACAGCAAGGCACACGTGTAATTAGGAAACCAACCTGAGGTACGACCGTCTCAAAAGATAATAAAATAATAAATAGCAGGGCCTCATTAGGAGCAGCCTCCCAGTAAACCAGTAAATCATTAAATCAGCCAATTTAGACTGTGGAGAGCTGGGAGCACTCTTGGGACACCTAATCCAATCCAGCATCTGGTCATTAGGGACACTTAGCCGGTGACCAACCCCATCCTCTGGTGGCCCCTCCGGACATCCAAGGCAGCAGCCAAGCCACGTGTTGCTAATTACTTGGGTGCCGAAACCCACAAGTTCGCATATATATTTATATGTGCAATAGATGTCAGGTGTCGCATAGAGTTGAATATAATTATGTATGGACATCTGGGAATTTTCATAGTACTTTGTCCCGAGGCACTTGCTTTTATTGGATTTATTGAGTGCTGATGAAGATGAATAAGTAAGGAGGCTTAGCGTACTTGTTGTATTATTCAAAGCGCGTGAAATGTGGCTCCAAAGCAAGGAAATTATAACTCCCAAATTTAATGATAGATTAAATAAAAATTTATTGTTATTATATTCTATCCTATTTATCTTGTTTTTAATCGCCTACTTAGAGTATTTATAAAAAGGTTTAGCAATAAGAACCAGAACCACATGCAAAAGTTCAGCAAACTATAAAGAAATTATATGTAACGCCTGTTTAAGAAAGCTTTTATCGGTGCATACATAAATATTTACGTGTGTAATATTCCAGAAGATATTGTGAGAATTGATATACTGCATCCCTTACATTAATATAAGGAAAGCATGTCAACAACTTATTAATAACTTACAAAATTGTAAATAATTAAATATAATCGAAAACTAATAAAAATATTAAAAATAGAAGGTATTGATGATAATAAATAAATATTTACTACGTTACTGTTAAATTTTTTTTATTATTTAATTTTTATAGAAAATGTTCGACTTTTTATAAACGCATCCACGTTTCTATTAGTAATTTACTAATTAATGCTTTTATAAAAAAATAACGTTTTTGTGGTCCCTAATTTATTATTAAATATATTTTACAATAATATTATATGATATCGCCAATTAATGTCGATACTATAATTATAACAAATGCTCATCTGACTACATATGTTAAGAAATTGTAATTTGAATTTATGTGATTGAAAATTGTGTAAATATTTTCTTTGTTTTCCACGTGCACCTGTAGAACTTCCCAAGCCACTCTTAAAAACTACGGATTCAACACTTGTTAATTGGCTTCTTTTGACACTTGGATTTTCGTAATTAGTACACTCATTCTTGTTAAAGATAGCCACGAAAATTATCCCGCAGGATGCTTGGCCAACGACAGGTGGAAAGCAACTGTTTGCATATCCAGATGTCCTGACCAATTTTGGGGAGAAGGGAGTCTCGGCAGGTGAGTGCGCAGGCGTTGAAGCCGAACTCCTCGATTCACTGGCCATGCTAATGGAACTGCATGTGGGAGCTAATTTCAGCTATGTTGTGGCTTTGGCAAACCGAACCATGTAAGCCTAATAAGGATGCAAGCTTTCCTCATTACACTATTTATAAGGCGTTTGAGTTTTTGCCAGAAGTCTGTTTATACCATTATTGGCCATGGCGAGATCCATCGAATTTAACTAGATGATTTTAACTATTTTATTATAATTCAATATTAAATGGGTGTGGATTGGTTTAAGTTTAATTATAAAAGTTTGAGAAGGATAATCGCAGAACCTTTTAAATAAAAGTCTTGACATTTTTAAATCTGATTTAACATGTGATTCAGTTTGCTTCAAATATTCGTTGGAAAAACAACAAAACAATAAAAAAAAAATGACTTCTATTATACAACCGGACGGTTTCATACCGCAAGCTCAGGGCATTGACGCAGCCGTACCAATATGGTTTAAGATAGACTGGAGCCCTGAGATAGAGCAGGGCATCTACAAGGACTGGGGAACATATTACTGCCGCCGGCGCCGGGAGAATCTTGGCATGCACTACTTTGACAAAGCCCTCAAGCTCGGCCCTGCAGATTTTACTACTCTTTATCGCCGAAGTCAGAGCAAACGGAAGATTGCCCTGGCGGAAAGTGCCCTTCAGGACAGTTTGGAAGCAAAACGTAAGCTATACTTTGTCTTCTTACCAAATTTGATGGTAAGTTTGATTTCTTGAACAGGACTTTTGAAAAATTTGCAACGTAACGATGCGCCGATTAATTTGGAGGTCTGCGATGGACTCTATGATATGAATCGGTTCGAAAACGCAAAAGCTGAGCTTCACGACAATGCCCGTCTGTTTACTGGCAATAAATCGAAAATGTTTGAGCAGCGTCTAGAAGTGGTATGACAACTTTTAATTACATTTTAGGGATTTCTTCCAGATTTTTAATGTCTACGTAGGTGGACGGAAATATTGAAGATGCCTGCGGTCCATCGATGACTCAGTTTATATCTGAAAATGAAAAACTTATAATACACTTAACTGAGCTAATAAAGAAGCATAAGGAAGATGACAGACCGCTCTGGAAAATATTAAAGGAACAAGAGAAATGCGATGTGCTCAGCATTCCGGAAATCGAAGTACAATGATACCTTTTAAATCCGTTTCTTTTTATTAATATATATCTGTTACTAGGATGAAATGCTTTCTCCCCTTGAAATTGCGAGGCGAAGTCGAGCTTTCAATGTGTGCAACCAAATGTTCATAGACAGGTCATGGCTTGATGTAATATTTTTGAAACATGTTCGAAAGTAAATCTATTTTGTCCACTTATAAATTTTCGCTTGTCAATACATTATATTTTTTTTAGGAATCCGAATCTGCTCTTAGATCAGTGTAAAAAAAGCACAGAGTATTTACAGCCCCTTACTCTAAAGAAATATGACGAGATCAAAAACTTTTTGGTGGGTAGGTGAATAATATAAACTCAGGTTTAAATTATTTTTTACAGAAAATGCTGGAGGCTCGCAGTCCAATGTACAATATCCGTTACCAGAAGTTCACAAACAAGAAATTAATGGAAAAGTTTCGTCAAGAATATCTATATCGAGTTCAGTACCAAACGAGTCGAAATATGAGAACTGCCTTGCAAAGTATTCGATATCTTCGAAAAACTAAAAATCTAACGGTAAGAATTTTAAAAGTTTTCGATTTTAAAAATTTGTTTACATGCAAAGAAGTCACATAAATTGCACTGGATTGGTTAAGAAGGGACTTTCATAATAAAAACATGAGCGGGGATTTCACATAAATCTCTTCCAACCGAAGATGGTTGGAAAAGATTTTTGTGACACCACTGCTCGACCCTAACCTTGATTGCTAATTTCAATATTAAGACACTAAAATGCTCAAAATAACACAAAGTTTTATGAAAGGTCGGTTTATTATTCTTTTCAGAAACTAACCAGTTACGTGGAGGAGGTAATGGGAGACTATGTGGTAAAAAAAACGAATAGGATTATGCCCTGGAAATTTGAATTTCTGAACGAAGTTTATAACACATTAGCGTTGGCTTACGTAGATCAGTATACAGTTCCAAAATACTTTCGATATTCGGAAAAGAACGCATTGCTCCGCCTACTTCGCTTTCCGATGGATAAGTCTATGGAGGTTAAACCTTTTGTATTTGGGGATCGGTCTACTCATCAAGGCTCATCCGTGGATCCAGCCATGTCGAAATCCCGGTAATTCATTTATTCTTATGCTGCTGGTTTATATAATAAGGTCACGTTAACTTACAGTCAAATAGTAAACCGATACGAGCACCGGATGGTTTTTGCCAAGTATCCGATCGAGAAATCCTACTTGCTTCATCAAATTGCAAGCACACATCTTCAATCACATAGATTTGACGAATGCTGCTTTAGTGCCCGAAAGGCTATTGAAGGTTTGATATTTTATTCACAGACTAATAAAGTTTTAGACCCCATACCCTTTTCTTTTAGAGGCTCACAACTGCAATAGCTTTATTTGGCAGTTTCTCAGCTACCTACTAATAATTAAGGCAAATGCTGCCCTCCACAAAGTCGAAGGAACCAGCGAAGCCCTAGCTAAGGCAGTTAATATTGCCAAAGAACTGAAAGAAAAGGATATCAACCACTTTTTAAATGCATGTATAAACTGCAACGAGGAGGAATTCATTGTCAAGAAGCAGAGTGTTTTTACGAATAGCCGGCGTGATAGTGAAAAATCAGTACGCAGTACCCTGTCCTTACGCCGAAGTGAATACTAACGTTTTGTATTATTTTTATAAAATCTAAAAATAATTAATAATAAATTCTCAGTGTATTTGGTAAAAAAAAGGATTATTTGGAATACCAGTCAAAAGTTTGCGGTGAAAGAGACGTTTCCGACCATTTAAAGTACATTCATTTTATCAGCATCCCTAGACGAGTTAATCTAGCCATCGGATCGGAAAACTATATATTTTTTTAATATGGTGATGTTTCCATAAAATCTATTAGTGATAAAATCGACCTATTTCTAAATAATGTTAGTAAGTAAGACAAAATGACTAATGTAAAAATATTGTACCCGAAGAGTGACTGGTGCCATAACTAAAAAGGCTTCATTTAGCCTGTAGCACTGGGATAAAACCAAAATAAATTAAAATTAAGTAATTGATTAAGTAGTGGTATGCAATCCTGTACAATTTTGCGATACCTTTCGATTGGTGTATCACTCTTTATAATCGGGTCATCACATCAGATTTTCAATTCTGCGACTATATAATAGTAGTCGCCTTCGCACACTCTCGTGGTGCGCTTCGTCACTACGTAGACTGCCGTCCACATGGACATATTTTTATAAGGTTCTAGGTTTTCTAAGAATTCAACAAGTGTTGACGTTTTGTTGGCTTTCATTTAATATGTATTGTTTAGAGAATTTTAAAAATCGAAGATATTCTTATATTTCTACTTTGACGGAACATTTTTATGGCTGTTGTAGTATACAGTAAAACCGTTATATGATGGAAATTTAAAATTCGAGTTCCGAATTTGTTTTTAAAATATCTGTATTAACTTTTGGTAAAACCGTTTATATAAACATTGGTCATTTGCTGCATTTTTATTAAAGACGGCAACAGACAACAGTTCCTTGCTTAAATTGATAGTTTAGAAACTATGGTAACATTACGACGATGTCTTCTCCACCAACTTGGCCATCATTTTCTCCTCCTTGGCCTTTCGCTTGGCCTCCTTCTGCTTTCGCTTGTCCTCCTTCTCCTTTTGCTCGAGCATCTCCTTGAATCTTTCGTCGCGTGTATCCACCTTGAATCCGAAGTGTCGGCGCACTTCCTCCACCAGGCGTTCCTTGCGTTGTATGGCTGCCGCCGCATCCGCCTCCCGCTTGGCCACCTTTGCATGCAAATCCGCCTTCCACTGTTTCAGCTTCTCCATCTTCTTCGCAATGTCCTCCTCGCGGGCTGTGATCTTCTCCAGCTCCTCTGCCTTCTGCGTGCGATTCTTCTCCAGCATTTTCAGTAGTGTTTCCAGTTGCATAACCTGCCTGCTGTCTTTCTCTCCGCGGGACTCGAAGCAGATCTTGGGATCCACATTGCTCTGGGCACCGTATCGCCCGAAGGCCTGTCTCTGGTACTTTTCTGTCAAATGTATCCAGGAGTGCGGCTCCTGATACGGCAATTTGTTGAGAAGCACATTTTTGTGTTGTGGTTGCAGGCCGGATCTGTCCACCGCCTGTGGATAAGCCAGTTCCTCATCCTCCTCGCCGACCAAGGATGCCGGCAGTTCCGATTTTGCAGCGCTTGAGTAGTGCAAGCACGAGCGCAGAGCAGGTAGTCTGGATACAGCTTTAATTTTGCCCAAATTCATATTTAAATGTCTGAGCAAAATCAGTTTAATAATTTGTAATAGAGATGCAACAAAGCCGATGGCGATAGCTATCGATTAGTTTAAATAATTGAATCGAAAAATGAGGTACGTTTACACTAGAATTTTTGAACATTGTGATTATATATATTTTTGTATACAACGAATATCGAACATTGCAAAACATTTAAAATTGCCGGGAATCAAAGTAAGTTCTTTTTGGCAATACCTAATAACTGGTATTTCTACATGCTCCCCTAGGCGGATATTTCATTATTAAATTAAAATTACATCCACGATTTTAAGCGGCTGTGGGCAGATGGTATAAATGCTTTTACTTTGCAGTAAATTTAAAAATTCACTACAAAAACGTAAAAAATTGATGAAATTTCGAAAAGTTGACTTTGCATGGAAGAGCTGATTAACACCAAACCGAAATTCAACAGTTCAATAGTTTAAGGAATCCCCTAAATAATTTTTATTAACGAGAAACAAACACCACTTTAAAATGTGTGGGTCTAAATTTAGGCTGGCCTTGGGGTATTTCAAATATAATAACAGAAAGAAATAATTTTACAACAATTACGCCGAGTTGAATTGAGCAACTACTGTTGAAGTCAGCTTTTATTGGATGGATATCCTAACTGTTTCCAACGAATGTACTTTGCAGTGGAGGGTATTATGAATTCTGTTTCTGAAGCGGAATTCGCTGATGCAGAAGCAGAACAGAGGAGTCCCCCCAATAATTGTATTGATATTTATGACTTCCACTCGTTATCGACACCATTACGCCGTGCACATATGCCCTAATGCAAAACTAAAATCCTGGAAGCGCGGAAACGTATTTGAAACTTTAGGTGCTCATTTAAACAAAATCTATCTTCCATTCAGGTTAAATCCTATGCCTTGTCATGGCGGGACACCGTGCTTTAAGTTACAAACAACTGACGGGGCGCATACATTCAGTTTACTGCAAAGATTTCGTGTAAGTTCATGTCCATCAATGGCGCAATTCGCCAACTCTCTGAACGGCGTATATTCCATTCCAATTGCAGTTCCTACAGCGAGATCACATTCCACCCGAAGCACTACCTGAATGTCCTGACCGGTCCCAATGGCAGTGGCAAGTCCACGATTGTGTCGGCCATTATTTTGGGTTTGGGCGGCGAGCCGGTTCTCCTGGATCGCTCCGCCAGCGTTGCCGACTACATACAGAGCAACAAAACCTCGGCCACGATTGTTGTCCAGGTTTATGGACGGGCAGCCAACACCACGGAGACCTTCCGGCGCATCATCAACTCGAATGGCTCGTCCACCTTCTCCGTGAACGGCAAGGACACCTCCAAGAAGAACTTTCTGGTGGCCGTATCTTCCTTCAACATACAAGTCAGTAATTTGTGCCAGTTCCTCCCGCAGGATCGGGTTCAGGTAAATTGCAATCCTGACATATCAAAAATCAAGCGACTACTTTAATGTAAACGGACTGTTTTAGGACTTTTCAAAGATGAATCCCCAAGAGCTTCTACTCAACACAATGTCTTCCGTGTGTGACGATGATCTTACCAACGGCTTCAACCTTTTAAAGCAGATGCGCACACAACAGGCGAATACCCATGCAAATCGGGAAAAAGAAAAAAATGATCTTGCAAAAAAGCAAAAACGATTGGAACAGTGAGTTAGCATTACCTCCCAACAAACGCCTTAGTCCCATATCGAAGTTCTGTATATTTTTAAGATACCTTTTCTGTTTGAACTGCAAATCAAATTCCTCTTCCTTGTCTTAACATTTTGCCAAATAGGGTCTATTTGAACGTCGTTACTTATTTGATTGTTGTTTAAGCTACTACATTTCCAAACTTCGGCTTTATTTCTCGTTTAACATACTTTGAAATACCTTATTTGTAATGGCTACATAAATTTGCATATATTTTAACTCGAAATATATTTACTTTCTTATATACAATAATTTCATAGGTTGCAAATGACTGTAGCACAATTTAAAGAACGCGAAGAAGTGAAGCAAAAACTGCAAATCTTCAGCGCCAAAAAATTGTGGGTTGAGACCCAGGCTGGTGAAGCAAAAGCCGCACAGTTGAAGACCCAAGTTAAAAAGGCAAAAACTCAAAGCGACAAATTAAAGGAACAACACAACCAACTTGTTCAGGCTCAAGAACAAATTCAGAGAACTAAGGTCTCATTTAGAGAAGCTTGTTTGGAAAAGGTATTGGTTTAATTGAAATGTTTACTTTCTTATTCAATTTTACAATTTTTGCAACATTTGCAGACGCGTGCATTAGACAAAGCTGTAGCGGAACGAAATGCTATAGAAAGCCAACTGGATTCTCTTAAACAAGGAATTCGCGAAAATAAATATGAATTGGAGGTTAGTAGAGGGCTGTGTGCTTTGTGGGACTGGCACATTCGGATAACAAGCTTCCTTTGAATCAGAATGTTAAATACAAATTTTTTTTAAATTAGAAATAAATTTTAAAATATTTTTAGGTATTTAACAGCTTTTGTTTTGTAACTTTTTGCCAATACATTTTAGGCACCTTATTGATTACACTAGTTTACAAAATAATATTCTTGATGTGCTTCCCAGCAATTAATGGCAAAAACACCAGTTAATTTTTTTGGGTAACGTGTATCTGATAGTCGGTGCACCCGACTATAGCGATCTCTATTGTTTTTTTTTTTTGTTATAGTTTAAAGTTAGATTTAACTTGACCCAAAGACGTTCGTAGAAGGTCGAACGGTCCTTCTTACAGAACTCTTCTCTATCTATTTCGAAAATATCTAACAATTAAAATAAAATCGTAATTCATTCATTATAAATAGCAAAATATTCAGAAGTCATTAAAACATGCTATGGAAGCGGAAAAAATGCACAAATTGGTCGAAAATAAAAATGAGGAGTTGGAAGACTTTAATAAACACAGGCCTCAGATTCTTTCGGAACTGGAAAGGGTTAAAGAATCATGCGCAGCAGCACGTCAAAAAGCCATGGAACAGTATAACAGACGAAAGCAACTTGAACAACAACTAAATGATGAAAAGATTCCTGAAATTACCGCCTACAAGCATAAAATAGATCGACTTAAAAACGTAAAAATGCAAAAAATTGAAGTAAGTATTTTAGAAAATCGTATACCATAGGGCTAGGATAAATTAAAAAAATATATTTTTTGATGTTTGACAGGAAATAAGAATGAAAAATCCGAATTTGGTTAAAGCTATGAACTGGCTGGCACAAAATAAGCAGCGGTATAAATTAAACGTGTATGACCCAATGATACTTGAGGTATGTTTTTAACTTCTTAATATGTTTAAAATAATAAAATCTATTAAAAAAATATATAGCTTAACGTGGAAAATTATGAAGACGCTAAATATCTGGAAAACGTTGTATCGCAGCGCGATTTATTTGCATTTGCGTGCGAGGACAAAGGCGATATGTCGGACTTAATAAACGAGTTATGTGTAAAGCAAAAATTGGGAGTCAATATTATATTCTGCGCTCCAGCGGATAGGGTCATGTTCAGCCCTAGTATTTCAAAAAATGACCTGCGGTATGTATTTAATTAAATGAAATCTGTTAATGATTCTTTTTTAACCACTTTACAGCCCATTAGGTTTTCGTGCATATCTTGTGGATCTTGTTAGTGGGCCAACACCATTAATAAACAAGCTGTGTGCTTCTTATTCGATTCACAACATTCCAATTGGTACAGAAGCCGTAGGCAATTATACTTCATCTATTCCAAAAAATATTCGAGTTTATTTTGGCGGTGTGTATACTACTCTCTTTTATTACAACATTCAAATTAATAGTTATTACCAACATTTTTTACCTTGTAATGCTTAATTTCAGGATTTCATCCGTGAAAATAAACTTACTCAACTTGAATTCATTTTCATTTGCATTCCAGGAAACAAGAAATTTGTGGTGACTGCGTCTCGCTATCGTTCCGACACCATTCTTACGGAGAGCACTATTCGGGGAAAAAATCAGCTCATTACAGTGGACTCACAACAATTGGCGCAAGTAATGAAACAGTGTTCCGAAGCTGTAAGAGAGAGCGACAACATTAAGAACGCTATCACAAGAACCGACAATGAGTTTGAACGTTTGCAAGCGGTTACAAAGGATGAACAAGACAAAAAACGAAAGCTGGACCAAAAACTGAGCCATTTCAGTAACCTTAAAAACGAAGTTCAAGAACTCAGGAGGAAGTTGGAAAGCCTCCAGAAAAACGATGGTAACTGTTGATCATCACATTAAGTTAACATCCATTATGACATGTATTTTTAGCACTGGACGCTCTTAAAAATCGTTTTAGTAACAGCTTGCATAAAGATCTAAGAAAAATATTCGAAATCGAGGCTAATCTGTGCAACTGTTTGCAAAAGATAGAACGTCTTATGATTGAAAAAAAGTTAGCTCAGACTAAAACATCGGTTTATATGGTGCAACATGAAAGCCAAAGTGAAGCACTTAAGGAAAGCGAACAACAGAGTGTATCGGCAACAGTAAGCAATATTTTATAAATTTAATTGTATTATTTCTAAGTTATGTACTTGTAGAGGGAATTCCAAAAATTAATGCAGTGCTTGGAAGATCAAATCAGCGATGTCAACAAGCGGAAGGGAGATATCCAGCGGCTGTGCGATGGGGAAATCCCAACCAGTTCCAAATTTCCCTTTAAAAAGGAATTTCGAGATATGGAAAGCATGGATTTGCCCGGAATACTTGAAGCTATTCACGACTTTCAGGCACGATTCGAGTGCATGAAGAGCGTCAACTCCGAGGTAAGTTTAATAAATATTTGTATTCCTTTAAGGGCCTTTAAGTATATTATAAAACTAGAAAACCGTATGCAAATTAAACCCTACTTTACCTGCATTACCTGAAAATTTGCCTGACATTCTTTCTTAAATATTCAGGCAATCGACAGCTATCAACAATTGCAAAATGAAGTCAAAAATCTGGAAGAAGGAATCCAACAGTCTGTAAACCAAGCCAAAACCATCGAGTCGGAAATGTCGAATTTATACCAAAAATGGGAGCCAAAACTAACTGCCTTGGTAGAAACAATCAGTACCAAATTCAGCGAATTTATGGAGTCTATTGAATACGTTGGAGATGTTGTTTTGTCCAAAAACGATAAAGTGAGTATCAAGGCAATAAAATATTTCGCCCAGACATCTCACATTAACTATATATTTAATGTATCTATTTAGTACGACTTTGATTCATACGGCATTCAGATAATGGTGCAGTTCAGGAGAAATGTTCAGCTGCAGCCGTTGGATAAGTTCATTCAATCTGGTGGCGAGCGCGCTGTGTCAATAGCCATTTATTCGTTGTCCCTACAACACGTTACTCACGTGCCATTCAGGTATTTATGAAACATAGCTGCAAACTGCAGATGGCTTTAATGTTCTGCCGTTCTAAGGTGCGTCGACGAAATCAATCAGGGCATGGACGCCAAAAACGAACGAAACATATTCGATTTACTCCTCAAAGAAGCCACTAAGCACGGCTCGGCACAGTATTTGTTTGTAACACCTAAGGTAAATAAAAATATTTTATTTTAAATGTTTATTAATCGTTTTGAATATTTTTATAGTTGCTTCGAGACCTGAACTACAACGAACATTTGTGTGTTTCCATTGTTCACAACTCAAAAACAGTTTGTGATGGTATGAAATTTCCGAAGATTTAAAAATTGGAATTTTCAGAGGACTTCTAATTTGAATTTGTTGTCATTTAATCCATAAATGTATTATTTTTATTACAACGTTAAAGAAAAAGGAACTTATATTTTTTGTTAATTTAAATAAATTAAACATTTTAGTTTTCACTTTCTGAGAGTGACAACCATAAATTTAGCTTATTACTCCTGTTCGACAAAACCATCGCTGGTGAGACTTCTTTTCGAACTGTTGACTTAATGAGCACAAAGTCTGTGGGGTGGTAGCTTAACATTTTTTAAACAAGTCGAAAGTCATTGAAGCTTGAAGATTTGTTTTCTCGAATTTCAATTCGGCCTCGTTTAAAACCTTACAAAAGCTACTATCCCATTTCGCTTTTTATTTGATTTTAACACTTATAGCCCAATATGTATGGACTGGGCGGTATAAAGGACGTTAAGAAAAGGTACAAAAACATTTTTTAACTTTTTAATCTGTGACAGTTAAATTTTTAACGAAATTTTACTTGGTTTAACATTTTTGATGACTGAATTTAATATATTTATAAACAACTTAAAAATACAATTTTCTTTAGAGGGTTAAATATTAATAACTAAACCGTGTCAACATATTTATGAATACTCCATTACATCATGTATTGAAAGGTATACCGTATTTTACTGATCCCTCATCGTCAACTATAAAAGATCATGTAGTTGAAGATATTTTTTCAGTTTTTTATTTACCTTAACAGGTGTCAGGGCTTAATCGTGTGTGCCCCCATTATGGTTGGGATTTTTTAGATCAGCAGTTATTGCTGTATAGCCATATTTATAAATCTTCTACTGGCCTACTAAGTCCCAACATAATGAGAGTAAAAACCACAAAGTTTATTAATGCAATAAATAAAAAATTGAAGTGAGTGCAAATAAAATATAAAAATTTAAGCCCCGGTGCTGAGATCAAGCAAACAGAAGGAAGACTTTGAGACATATTAATAGTAATAAATATCTTTGCTTGAATTTACCGTTACAGTTTTGCCTTAGAATATGAATATTTTTTCGTCAATCTAAGTACCGCGGTAAAAAAAAACTTCGAAAAGCGCCACCTATTGGCCTCTCATATCTGACGAATAGATTTGATGTGAGTAATAGGCTTTACTCAGGGAAAATGGAGTACCCCCAACTAGATGTATTTTTACCATTTAGTATATTTTCTCCAAGACTTGGTATATTTACGTTACACGGTCACACTCGTGCAACCTCCTCATAAATTGACAAATTAAAAAAAAGTTGACAATTTTTTCGGGAAACATGAATTTAAAGGCGGAATTTGCTCTGTGTTTTTTGCTGGGAGTCGTGGCCAGCAGTTGGGTAAGTAAGAATCTTTACTGTTGAACAGACCACTCAATGCTGCCTCTTATGTTTAGGGATTCTTGGAGCATGACAGCTGGATTACGGTGGAGCTCCTGCACTCGCTAGCCAACTCGGATAGTTTTTCCTTTCGTGGAAACGTGACCATTCCCAGCCTAAACTCCGGGTTGGCCAATGTCGAGCAACCAGCTTTGAGCAATGCCGAGCTGGACATGCTGAAGGTAATTGGTTTTTTGGGTAGTCCGCACACGGAAACAGCCGGTCAGAAAGGGGCCGGCCTTCTGCCCATTCCACTCTGAAACTAATTTTTTAGGGTATACCATCCTCAATATGTCATTAAGGTTGTTTGAATATATATGGGACGTTCCATAACAACCCGTCCACCCCCTTTTTATACCCTTGTAGAGGGTATTATAATTTCAGTCAGATTTGCAACGCAGTGAAAGAGACGTTTCCGACCACATAAAGAATATATATTCTTGATCAGCACCAATAGCCGAGTCAATCTAGCTATGTCCGTTTTGATTCTTGACTACTTAAAAACAAAATTTAAATAAATAGAAACGCTGTATCTGGAATCTCTGGAACTGCACCGAGTGAGCATTACTTTATAAGCTTCGGCTGGCCGAAGGTAGCTTCCTTTCTTGTTTTTATTGTATGTGGACAGTACCACATTGATAGCAAAGCCCCGTGCTTCCAATATTTTACCTCATACCTATTTTGTCAATGTTACCACTCTTTCTCCGTATATTCGGATAAAATCATTTTTATCCATTGAACGGAAGACAAAATTGGCATGGTTCAAAGGTAGAAAAATCGGACTTTCCATGGGCGATTACGAGAAAAAAATGGATTTTATTAGACCGTAGACCAAGCGATAGCGTTTTTAAAGTCTAAATAAAGTCTAATAAAATCCATTTATCCTACTATTAGGGCTGTTTTCTCGTCCGTTTGTTAAATTTAAAGTAGGGTTAAAACAATGATTACCCTTAGGATTTCAAGGTTTTAACCCTACGGAAGAGCGGCCCTAAAAGTAGAATAAATGGATTTTATTAGACCGGAGACCAAGGGATAGCGTTTTTAAAGTCTAAGGGGTGTTTTCTCGTCCGTTTCTTAAATTTAAAGTTGGGTTAAAACAATGATTTTCCTTTGGATTTCAAGGTTTTAAGCCTACTTTAAATTTAACAAACGGACGAGAAAACGACCCTAAAAGTAGGATTTCGTCCAAAGGGCCAGTCTGCAAAAATACCATTATATTTTTCTCAAAAAGTTAATATCTAATTACTCAAGAGAGATCCCACTTTGAAACCAGTGGCATAAAATCCCATACATTTTGGGGCTTTTTGCGAAAGAGTGGTAACATTGACAAAATAGGTATAGGTTAAAATATTGGAAGCAAAGGGCTTTGCAATCAATGTGGTACTGTCCACATACAAAAAAAAGGGGTGGCCGGGTTGATATGGAACGTTCCATTTATATTATGTATATATTAAAGTATGAAGATACTGGTAGTAACCTTTAAGGAAAAATATGGGTCTTACTTTTGCAAAGTAATAATTTAGTAAAATTGTAATTTGTGTTTTGGTTTATTATTTTCTGTTTAAGAAACTCGCTTTGCAAAATGAGTTTTACCGCTTAAAGGCCACGGTGGTATACTCAAATGGAGCCAAGGCGCAGTTCATCACTTCCAACAAGGCCTGTCGCCTGCTGCAAGCGCAACTCAATGACGTGCTTTGGGTGTCCCTTGATCCCTCCGGATACGTTACCGGCATCACTGTCTCCCAGGACACAGCTCCCGCCACCGTTGAGTGCACCCAGGAAGACGTAAGTAAGCTGGTTGAATCGCAATTTAGCACCGACGTTTTGATCCGCCATGCTGAATTGGCTCCCGTACCGGATACTGCTGGCTTCATTCAGAAAGTGGAGCGGGAACGCGAGGCCAGGGAGCGCGGCGAAGTTCGCGATAACCGGGGTTTCTTCGCCAAATACGTAAGTGTAAAAAGTCCACTAAAATCCCTTGTCCTAACTCCCCACTTTTTTTATTTTTAGTGGATGTACATCGTTCCTGTGGTTCTGTTGGTCTTTATTTCGGGAGCCACCAACCAGGACGGAGCCAAATAGGTTTACCTGTCTTAATTTGGTTCACATTTTTGTTTGTTAGCATATTCTAATTAAATTCCTAGAAAATTCTGGATTTACCAAGTCATCATAACTATTAAAGCGTATGTAAAATAAATAACATATTGATAAAACATATTAATTTCAATATAGACATGTGCCTTTTGGTTTCAGGTCTGTGTGTTGGTACTGCCATTTCGAAAACAAAAAAATATTCTTTTTTGAAAAGTGCTTTTTAAGGTCAATAAAACTCACACCAAAAGTACTCAAAAATTTTAGAAACTATTTTTATACCCGTTACTCGTAGAGTAAAAGGGTATATTAGATTCGGGCAAAAGTATGTAACAGGTAGAAGGAAGCGTTTCCGACCCTATAAAGTATATATATTCTTGATCAGGGTCACTAGCCGAGTCGATCTAGCCATGTCCGTCTGTCCGTCTGTATGAACGCTGAGATCTCGGGAACTACAAAAGCTAGAAGGTTGAGATTTTCCACACATATTCTTGGGCCTCCTACGCAGCGCAAGTTTATTTCAGACGAGCGCCACGCCCCCTCTAACGCCCACAATCGCCCACTAAGGGTTTTAAAATGTGTCCTGCGCTCACATCTTTAAAGATTTCCGAAAAGTATAAATGCAATTTATACCTATCGAAATGTAGAAGACATTTTTCAAATCGGACCATTCATTAAAAAGTTATACGCAATCAAAATATCTACATATATCTATCTCCTTCGCACTCCCTTTAGCTGAGCTACGCTTATAGTCGGGACACGAACCCGAGTACAGCGTTCGCACTTCCTTTAGCTGAGTGACGGGTATTAAATAGTCGGGACACCAACTCGACTATAGCGTTCTCTCTTGTTTTATGTCAATTTAATCAATTTTAGTTCGACTTAACTTATTTACCGTCCATTTTTAAAGAACTTAGACAATATAACAATTAAAACCAAAAAGATCTTTGAACATTCACATTTCCCCTATTATCAATGAAATTTACTAGGCAAAAAGCTACCTCTGTCGGGCTGAGGCTTTTATGTCTACAAAACTGGTGCACTCAACTTCCACGCCCAAAGTGTTCCAACTTTCACAACATGGGTAGTTTCGGGAAAAAATTAAAAACTTTCTCACTGTCAAACTAAGCTGATTCTGTAAACAGAAATTGCCAAGGCAATCCTCACTTTCATTTACCGTGCTATATTCAAGATCTTAGCGTTGGTGACACAAATCTTTTTGTGCGGAATTAGGTAGGTAGAAACTTGTATAGATTTTTACGTGTGTTCCACATAAATGATAATAATCAGATAATACGTATATAGCACTAGTTTACAAAATAATATTCTTGGTGTGCTCCCCAGCAATTGATAGCGTTGGACCCTAGATCACAAAAATACCACTAACTTTTTTTTCGATGGCACAGTTTTTTTTAAAGATTTTTTAAATTTCAAAATGTTATATTTCTGACTTTTTTCGAATTTCTTCTTGTATCTCGGCAGATATCCACCCGATTGGGCCAGTTTTCGTTTTAGTTGAAAGTCAATAGATAAGAGCTTAACTTTGCCATGCAGATCAATATGATTGGATTAGTAATGGCAGCGCAGAAGCTTGACAAAGATGAAAAATGTGTTTTTTGGTCGACTGTAAGTCGGCTGTATATATCGTAAAAACTCGAAATAAATCCGTTGAAAAATAATGGGTACAAACTTAAAGTTTACATCCTACCAAATAAAACAAGCCGGATATGGCCCAAATCCATGGAAAACTGGATTTATGGTGGCTATTTTTTGACCCCGTTGCCGTCACCACTCATTTATGTTTACATGTCGCGGCCTATGATAAATCTTAAATTTTAAAATTGGTCAACAGGTGAAGTTTTAATTCTTGATTTAAAGTTGATAAGCAGAGTAACGGGTATATGACGGTCGAAACACTTCACTAAAGCGTTGTCTCTTGTTTTTTAACTTTTTTTTGTAATTTATCGGGGTAGCTCTACCAGGAACTTTCATCATCCTTCTTGGTGCACTTTGACAATAAATTAGTGATGTAGCATCTGGTCTACGAAGGGCTTGTTTATTTTAACAAATCCAAAAAGACGAGCCATTCGAATCAAACTGCGAAGTGATAGAATGATTTTTGTGTTTCAGGTCGCAATGTACAGGTAATATCCTTAGTCTAAAGCTTAGAATACGTCCGGATTTTGCCGAAATCTGAAGGTTCATGGGCTGTGTACCAGGATATCTAGCATCCATTCAAAGGATGCATATATTCAAATTGTATGTTATATATGCAGTATAAAATGTTAGACTTAATTTGAACGTATTAATCCAGCTGAAAGTGTGAACCTTAATTAAATGCTTTTTATACCGCAAGTGACGGGGGATCCGTTGAGAATCGTGAATTACACGGTCGCTTAACCACGGACCACCCCGAAATTGACTTGAGTGCGATGCGTGCCGAGTGGTTGAAGTACAAATTTGTAATTACAATTCCTGGCGCCTTCCCATGGAATGGTCTGCCAGTGGAATCCCCCAACACTCGCTAAAAAACAATTTTCTCGATGTTGGCCATCCAGTGCGGTGAGGGCTACGTGACAATTTGCCGATACCCAAATTTTTCCACCGACCAGGACCGCCTCCGATGGCGCAAAAAAACCAATCGCCCGTGGGCTGGTTTTTTTCTACCCACAAGGCGAGCCAACATGTGGTAACCCATAATTTACGCCTAGGGATGTTATGATTTTGATTATATCAATAACTTCAAGAATAGTTTTTTGTAGCTATTTTAATGAGACACACGACACACTTTTAGCACATATTTGAACTTTATATATTTCTACAATAATTAAATTGCTTATGTAAATCAGGTGATTTGATTACATTATTTTTATAAAAAAATATAAAAAATATAAAAATATAAAAACGGAAGGCACGCCGTAAGCATAACCATGGGATATGCTAATATTAAACGTAGCTACAACAACAATACAAAAACAACCATCAACCAGTTCCAGTCTAAAACCAACAAAATTACAAAGTTAACATCAAATATTAAATTCCTTTTAAGATGTAGAAAAATTAGATTAATTCCCAGATTTATCCAACAAACAACAAAGTACAACAGTATATTTAATAAGGACCAAGAAATTCCATTTCATATTAAACAATCATTATTAAGAATATCCACAAACTTCCACCAAAAACTACTAGGCCTAATTATAAAAATGAAGCACCAACAATTAGCAGACGAAACAAAACAGTTAAAACGAACGAAAACAACATTACAGAGACAACTCAGTACTGATGACGCGACAACAATATTTCAGACGGTAGATGCAACAACCAAAAAGCTAACAACATTAATAAGAGGGTCACAACAAGAAAAGTTCATAAAACTGCGCTCTGACCGTAACAACATTCTCGTCAATAACAACAACACAGGATGCTTTGTCAACAAAACCGAAGCGGAATTCCCTCTCAATGTACAAGCTCTACTTTCAAAGGGATCAAAGTTCGCTTTACCGATATCCAAAGCAGAATTTCCTCTCTTTAAATGCGTTGCCGACGGAGAAGAACTGGTGCAAAGCATACCAGGCAAAGAAGAACAAGAGAGCGCAAGAACTAAATTGTCTCTCCTAATCAAAGACAGTACAACAAGAACAAAAGAGAGTGCAATTGATCGAGCAATTTTGGACACAGTGGGACAAACTAAGAAATTTCTAAATGAAAACAAGGATATAATTATTTTAAATTCAGACAAAGGAAACGTCACAGTAGCCATGAAGAAGGAAGATTACCGAATGAAAATGAAAAATATATTGGATGACCTAGCCACATACAGGATACTACGGAAGGACCCCACGTCGCGACTCCAGACGAAAAACAATTTGTTGGTGGAAAAATTATTTAATATGGAGCTGATTTCAAGGAACGAAAGAAACAGACTCAAGACGAACACAGCGCTACCACCGAGAATTTACGGACTCCCCAAAATTCACAAAGAGGACACCCCACTGAGACCAATATGTTCAATGATCAATTCACCTTCGTATCACCTTTGCAAATATGTATGTGATATATTAAAAAACTTGACCACAGATTCTAAATTTAACATAAAAAGTGCAATAGAATTTAAAAATAAGGTTAATGACGCATATATAACAGATGACGAAAAAATTGTGTCCTTCGATGTAGTTTCGTTGTTTCCCAGCATACCGACTGGCTTAGCACTAACAGTAATACAGTCCAAATGGAAAGACATACAAGAACACACAAAAATCCCAAAAACATTATTCATGGACATCTTAAGCTTCTGCATTACAGAAAACAGATATTTTAAGTGGGAAAATGATATATACACACAATTGAAAGGACTTCCCATGGGATCTCCTGCATCACCAATAATAGCAGACATTATTATGGAGGAAATTCTTAAACCAATTGAACAAACAAAATTCCTTACCAAATACGTTGATGATCTCTTCGCTATTGTAAAGGAAACGGAAATACAGAATACATTAAAAATATTAAACACATATCATAAAGACGTACAATTTACGATTGAAATAGAAAATGACAACAAACTTCCCTTCCTAGACGCATGTGCACACCGGATCAACAACCAAATAAAATTAAACTGGTACAAAAAGCCTATCGCCTCAGGACGAATAATTAGCTACTACTCAAAACACCCACGAAATGTTATAATAAACACAGCACAGAATCTAGCCAACCGGATTATTAATACAAGTGACAAAATTTTCCACGAAGATAATAAAATAGTTATAAAAAACATTTTAAGAAAGAATGATTTTCCACTGAAGGTTATTCATCAAATAATTAAAAATATTAACCAGAAACCCAAACATCCAGAATTACAAGAAAACAAAACATACAAATCCTTTATATACATTCCTAGATTCTCCGAACGCCTTACCTTATCAAACATTTATGACCGTGACAAAATTCAATTAGCTTATAAACCTACAAAAACAATGGCATCAATATTTAGCAATATGAAAAGCAAAATTGAAATATTCGATAAACACAATATTATTTATAAAATTCCGTGTGCTGGTAACGGCTCAGAAAACTGCAATAAAATATATATTGGAACAACTAAAGCCAAACTAAAAACAAGAATAGCGGGCCACAAATCCGACATAAAAAACAACAATAATTCAAATATGCCAAAAACAGCACTTGCAGCCCACTGTGCGAGCGAACGACACTTGCCCAATTTCGATGAAGCGGGTGTGGTACAACAAGAAC